ATTTTATTGTCTTTACTTAAATCTTACATTATTTGTTTTAGCACAATTTTAATTTAAGTACTACTGATATGGTTATACGCATCACTTCGGGTGTATATGAATCTTTACCGATTAGGAGCGACTAATTTATCCGATTAGAATTCGTCACCTCCAACCGACTTACACCCTTATTCCTAACATAATGGACTGATATAACCCTTGATCATAGTTCAATTCAGAATCGACACGCAGTAACGATATCCCAGTCATGTTTAATATATGCAAAATAATTCGATAAAATGAGATATTTGGCAAAATCGTTACGACTAATAAATGCACATGTGCCATGTATAGAACATGCCGACATAAGGCCACCCCCCCGACCCCCCCCCCCCCCCCCCGCCGATAAAATGCATTAAATGCTCCGAGGGGTGGGGGTGAGATCGAGACTCTATACATTTTTTCATTGAAATACCCAAATGCTATTGTGAATTTACTATGTCAAGTATGTATGATACAAAATTTCTATATGCTTAAGAATTTAAATGCAAAAATTTCATTATCTATTAAATCTTGTAGATTTTTTTTTAAAATATTTTAAAATATCAATGAGAGTTTACAAGATGAATAATTCTCAAATAACATCAATTAAGGTCCCAATTGTATACATAATGAAAACTTATGAATTCATACACTATAATTTCATTGCATAGCTTTTTAATTACTTTTCAACAATATTAGTAAGTCTATTATAATAGTGTAATTTTTAACTAAAAAAAAAAAGTTAAATTTCACTCACCCATCAATAGCGTATTAAGAAGGTTTAATTTATTTGAATATGAGAACTATTAGGACATAATTTGTATTATTGATTAATTATTTACGTATTTAGTTTTCATGTTAGGTTGAGCATTAATTTAATCGCGCGTAATACACGCATTACAATTAGTTTTTAAAATTAATATTAATATGTTAACATATTTTTTAGTTTAAATGTGTTAGGTAATCTATACATCATATATTTTCATACATGACCATGCTATATTATGAAAAACTAATCGCGTCCTCAACTAGAATATGATGATTTGAATCAGGGTTCATCATGTCACTAGACAATGCCTCTATCATGATTAGTCAATGGAGAAGTGTGTCAATAAGTTAGTTACCATATTATACTCTCAATAAATATGTTTAATATCAACCGTTTAAAGTTCATTCATAACTTGCATGCATATATCTAACAAATTGCTAAAATTATAAGTATTATGTAAATCTTGAGTAGATAATACTTATCAAAACTACAATAAAAAAAAGGGTCAAATGAAATTAATTAGAAACACTACAAAACGGTCGTGGTTTACCAACATATATCAAAATAACTAAAATTTGAAGTTTTAAAAATTTGGAAACTAAAAGTAATCATTTACCGATTAATTAAACATTTTTATATTCAACGAATTAATTGATTTTAAAATTCTTACAAAATAGTTCAATCAGTTGAATTAATTTTTACATATTATTATACTAATATCTATATTTTAGTAAGTTTTCTCAAACAATCTATATTTTAGTAATTCCAGCAATTATCCTCTGACTATATTGATTTTTTAAAATTAATCCTGACTTTTAATTTGGACACTTTACGTCCCTTGACTTTCAATTTATTTTCAATTGAAGTTCTTTCATAAGATTACGGTAAGGTGGACTTTAAATGAAATGGTAAAATAGTCATTTCATATGCTTAATGTATAATTTTTCGTATTTCTTCCTTGTATACGTGACTTTGGACATCAGATTCACTTAATTGTTTAATCGCTAATGGAATTTTGTTCTTCAAGTGGATTTAGGAATTAAGCAATTAAGTGAATCTGATGTCCGAAGTCGCGCATACAAGGGAGAAATACGAAGAATTATACATTAGGTAGATGAAATGACTATTTTACCCTTTCATTTGAAGTCCAATTTACCGTAATTTGACGAAAGGACCTCAATTGGAAAAAAATTGAAAGTCAAGAGACGTAAAGTGTCCAAATTAAAAGTCAATAACTAATTTTGGAAAATCAATATAGTTGGGGAACCATTGCTGGAATTAACTCTATATTTTATAAGACAGGATTAATCAATTGAATTATTTTTATTTGGGTGTACCTAAGATTTCCATCGTCGGACACAATGACTAATCCCCTCGCTTAATTGTAAGCACATTATTGTTTATATATTATACTAGTTTTTTTACGCGCTTTGCGCGAATAGGATAATGCCCAATGATTATTTTTAAATAATTATTTCAAAGTATATCAATGCAATATTATATAGGATATGTTCATACATGGGTAAATAAATGTTGAAATTGTTTATTTAAATCGGTAATTTAAAGTATATAAATGCAAGATAATATATGAGAGATTAATTATAATTGTCACTAAAATAAATGTTTGCAACTTTGTAATAACGTTAGTCTAAATACTTGGTTTAAAAACGATAATCTAAATAAATACTACTTTTGGTTTAAATTTCTCTAATTCTTCTTAATTATCTTTTAGGTACCATTGTCATTACCTTCATCTTCAGTACATGTCATTTAAAAAAAAAAATTAATAGTGTGTCATGTGCAATTGGGTTATTGGTGGTAGCATGAGGGACTCATCATGCAGTGAGATTATGATGTAGGAAGCTTTATATTTGCTTTGTTGTGTATATGATGAGATATTAGTTGTACTATGAACTCTTTATTTTATAAGACCTATTGATATTTGGTAGTAATAGTTTTTCCTCTACATGTTTCATGCATCGGGAGATATGTATCGTAGGTTATCATGTGAAAGTATTGAACAAAATATTAATATTTATTATATTTATATAAAATACTTGGTAAATAAATATTTATAACATATTTTTGTATTATAACTTTGATATTTAATTACAAGATAATGTAAAAAGAAGACAATGGACAATGTAGTGAATATAATAAATTAAAAAGTAGTGAATCTTTAAATTTGTATAAAATAAAGATAATATAACTAATGAAATTATATCTCATTTTCAATTTTTTATAATGAATATTTTTTTTAAAATAAATGCATTATAGGCATCTAATTCTAAATTAATTAAATGCATATGTTTTATTTTTTGTTGTAGCTACTATTATTTAATTTATTAAGAGTAATAAAGTGACGTATATACTTTTCATCAACAATAATGAAATCATTGATTTTATTATTATAATTTCCATTCGTTGTTGAGACAAATTATTTTGAAAGTTTGTCAATGACAATTGTTACAATTCCTGTCAATAGAGGATGCTAATAAATAATTTAAAATACATAGTTAAAAATTTACAATAGATATTGTTATAATGATATAGTAAAAACTAATTTACAAATTTATTTAGAAATTTTCATGCATTGATAAAATTCGGATATGTAAACTTGTTCAATTTGAGCTAGTGAGATGTCAATATTGTCAATTATTTGGAAAATGATCATATCATTTTAGAGTTCATGTGTAATTGTATTTATGATCAACAACGTTGTAGTTAGGTCGCGCATGTTTGACAATGATGTAAGAACAATTTTGTTCGATAAAAAAATAATAGTATAATATTTATAAAGTAATGTACAATTGTACCATTATAAAAAATAGAGAAAAGGGTCAAATAGACCCCTAAACTTTACCCCAAAGGTCAATTAGGCCCTTAAACTTTAAAAAAGTCAATTAAAGCCTCAAACATGTCAAATTGGGTCAACGAAACCCAAAAACCGGTAAATGACCTATTATTATAGGTCATTTCAATTCCGGCGACGAATTCCGGCCACCGGCGATAAATTCCGGCCGTCCGATCGTCTTCTCCTGTGGAAGACGATCGGAATTTGTCGTCGGTGGCCGGAATTTGTTGCAGGTGGCCGGAATTCGTCGCCGGAATTGAAATGACCTATAATAACATGTCATTTACCGGTTTTTGGGTTTCATTGACTCAATTTAATATGTTTGAGGGTTTAATTGACCTTTTTTAAAATTTAGGGGCCTAATTAACCTTTGGGGTAATGTTTAGGGGTGTATTTGACCCTTTTTCTCTAAAAAAATATATACGAAAAAATATTAATACATAACGACCTAAATCATTCCAATAATGCAAAAGTATAATTGTAATATTAAGTTTTGTTTTCTAAATAACCAAAATAAGATTAGTTAAATGGAAAAAAAAACTTAACCTAAATTTGTTTTTTTTTTTTTTTTTTTAAATGCATAAAAATTAAATGATTTTTAAAGTTCATGATTTATAATATTTAAATGCTATAGTTGGACTAATTATTTGACCAAAGTTTATGTTAAATTTTATATTATATATATTTTAATACATTTTAACATATTCGTAGTATATGTTTAATAATTATGCCAACTCTAATTGAGATGTGGTTCAAACCTAGGACTTTTCTTATTGAAATTAATGAGTAAGTTAAAAATAATAAATAGTTAACAAAATATTCAGTTACTAAAGTTTATACTAACGGACTTTAAGTTATTTAAGACAATAAAATAATATAATAGATGACAAATAAGGAAAATCATTAAAAAATATTAAAATCAAAATAATATGAACAATTCGTTTTAAGAAATAATACTATTGACATTTTATTGTTCTAGTTAAGGGCATAATATTATTCGCTCTTATTAGAATTGTAATGTAATGTAATGGTATGTAGATTGTAGATGTAGATGTAATTAGAATTTTAGATATATATTAATATCTCTCTTTTGTAAGACCAAATTAATCTGATTAAGTATCAATGGATATTTCAAACACTATTCAAAAGTAAATGAACTAAACACCACATGATTGTAATTTGCTATACTACTTCGGGCAGGATACTCTGTCCGCAGGCCGCCGCCGGGGCTCTATCCATACGTGTCAAGTCATCATTGGCTGCCGTGAATCCGTTGGTGCTCACAAGGGCACGATAATTGTCCTCCCCTTACAACTATTCTTCCTTCCCTTAATTTGCCCTCGTCAATTTGCTTAATCCCAAACATATCCCTTTCCCCATCGAAAACCCAACTATCAATACTCAGAAACCCAGAGCCTACTCTTTCTCTCTCCCCCAATTCTCTTCTTTCTTTTCTCCATCTCCTCGCCGGAGAGCTTTTCCCTATCTTTCCCGTTCAGTTGTTGATCGGACGGTCAATCTATCTCTAACCATGACCATGTTGAATCCTCAACCGTTAGATGTGAGTCGCTCCTCTACACGCCAATACTTCAATTTGTCGTTCATTTGCGTTCTGCGTATTTATATACTCTGTGTTTGTTCATAGATTGATAATTAGCCTCATTTGGGGAAGATACGTATACATGCTTACTCGTGGTGTGTATCCACAGTGAGTGGAATGGGGGCGTTGATCATATCGACTAGGGTTTGGGGAGGGGAGCTGGTTGTTCGGTCCCTGATGTGGATTTAGTGTTCTCTAGAATTCAGTGCCGCAGGTGGGGTTTTGATATAGGGGGTTAGGTCTAGGGTTTACTGGATCACACTGTCTGCGTCTGCTTGAAGTTTTGATCTTTACTAAATTGTGTTTATTTTGAAAATTTCAACAGCAGGAGGAAGAGGAGATGCTTGTGCCACACTCTGATTTAGTGGAAGGGCCCCAACCTCTAGTAGAAGGTCCTCAGCCTATGGAAGGTTTGTTCTTTTAGTGTTTGAAAATTTTGTGCCTAGATAGACACTTGTACACATGGGTCTGTAAAGATTCCATAATTTACACTTTGAGCTTGGAAAAGCATATATATACACTCTGTCACTTATGTGTTTATATTTTTCTGATTTTTTGTTTTTAATTTTTCTGTTGGGATTTTTCTATTGGTTTCTTTTATTTATAGTGACACCAGCAGAGAATGCTAATGCAGCTGAAAGTCAAGCCGTGGATGAGCCACAGGCTTCACGTTTTACATGGACCATTGAAAATTTCTCTAGGTTGAATGTGAAGAAGCTATATTCTGAGGTTTTTGTTGTTGGTAGTTACAAATGGTAAGGGGCTATGACTTTCTCTGGGTTGTTTGTTATGCTATAGAGTTTTGGGTTGGTTTTTCTGACATTGGTCCTGACAGGCGGGTGCTTATATTTCCTAAAGGAAACAATGTGGAGTGCTTGTCTATGTACTTGGACGTGGCAGATTCAGCTACCCTGCCATATGGGTGGAGTAGATATGCACAATTTAGCTTGGCTGTTGTGAATCAAATCAATTCCAAGTATACTGTGAAAAAGGGTATTCTCCAAGTGCTGTTCTGCTTGCCTATATAAATAAGGCTTATTTTTCATTTAATTTATGTGTTATGTACTTATTTTACTTAGGATACGCATGTTCTCAAGTATGTGTTTGTTTTTATTCCTTGTTTTGCATTTACTCTTTTTTGTTGTTGTTTTTTTTTTTTTTTTTTTTTTGTGTGTGTGTGTGTGTGTGTTGTTGTTGTTGTTGTTGTAGTATAGAAGTGGGTCTCACAGAGGGAGATGGTTCTTGCCTCCCCATTTTGGCCCTGTGACTCCATCCTTTGTTCCTCTGTGTCCCCGCCCGCCCGCTATTATGGCATTTTGTCTGTAGTGACTTTTTCTTTTTGTCCTTTCCCCATAATCTAACTGTCTTTGTATTATTTAGTGTACTGTAACTGTCTGTGTAATTACTTTTCTACAGTGTGATTCCGGTTGCTGCTTGTGAAACTAATTAAATCTGATCTCACCAGTGCATTTATAAGAGAACAGGTGGCACAATAGGACTGTGAATCTGTGATACCATATTAACTAGGATTGCATAACACACTTGCTGATAGGAACAAATTCATACTTGTTGATCTTCGTTTCTATGAGTTCATGATAGTGAAAGTTCTTGAATCTACTATTAAAAGGTAATGCATGTTTGATGTAAAAAGTATGATGCTGCTGCTGCTTGTGAGAAATTGTTGGATGAGAGTGGATAAAATCACAAAATCAACCCTATCTTTTCATTTTTTAAAATTTAATTAATGCTATCTTTTTAGTGTGGAGAAGTTTTGTGCTCCACATTTTTGCCTTTTTTGTCACTGTTTATCCCTCTTTGTGGAAGAACCTACTTCTCTCATTTATGCCTTAAATCCTTGCCCCATTTTCATGTTTAAAGGTTTTACTTTCAGTCATTATTATTATGTGGGGGAGAGGGAAGGTCATGCATTGGATATTTTAAGTTTACTCTGGCAAAAAACAATCAAGAAAATTTTCATATCTGTAACTTGATTGGTTCCTTCTTCATACCCTTTAAGATAATTGCTTACTCTTGATATCCTGACTAACATGCTTAGAGGAGATTCTTCAATTCTATTTTGCATATGTGATATTGTATTCTGATGATGTGTAAATGATGCAGAGAAAATTGTACACTCCAAAGTTTTCTGTGATCTTTACTTGATAAGCTTAGATGTTATTATATTGATTTTTTTTAGGGGGTCTCTACTTTTTTTCTTAGTATTATTTCATTTTTCTTTCAAATTCTAAACATGACCACAGATAACCAAAATAGATGTAGGACTAGGGCTGTTCATCTAACCTGTATTGGAATTCTGATAAGATATTTCTTTCCATGGACTCATTTGTTTTTAATACTGAAAATTTCAAGCTTTGGTACTCTTATGAGGTGAAGAGTCCCCCCTCTCCACCCTAAAAGTTGGCACTTAAGCATGTTATGGAGTATATTAGCAATGCAATGTTCATAATTGATTGGGAATCTGAAATATATGTGTTTGTTTGTGTGTGTATATTTATTAAATTAAGTTGAAAGTGTGTAACTACGTAGAGTTTTTAAGCTCTATGCACCATCTTGATACCTCTTTTGTGTCTAAATGAATCTTACTTTTTAAAGGAAGATTAGTAGGCATGGGCATTTAAATCTTCTTGCAGGAAAAATGAATCTCTCTCTGCTCCTTCTTGTGAATATAGTTGTAAATTAGTATGCTATTTATTGTTCTAGTTATTTTGACCTCTCTTAATGAAATTTGCAGAGACACAACACCAATTCAACCAAAGAGAGAGTGATTGGGGTTTTACATCTTTCATGCTTCTCAATGAGCTTTATGACCCCAGCAAAGGATATATTGTGAATGATACAGTTGTGATTGAAGCTGATGTTGCAGTACGGAAGGTCATTGATTATTGGACATATGACTCAAAGAAGGAGACTGGTTATGTTGGGCTTAAAAACCAGGGTGCAACTTGTTACATGAACTCTCTTCTCCAAACTCTTTACCATATTCCCTACTTTCGGAAGGTCACAATATGTTTCTTGTTATTTAGCAATCTCCATTTCTTTTTCTTGCTGATATTTCGGAGCAGAATGATTCTTATGTTGTGATTGTTATCTATCAGGCTGTTTATCATATGCCAACTACAGAGAATGATATGCCCTCTGGAAGCATTCCTTTGGCTCTGCAGAGTTTATTTTATAAACTTCAGTATAGTGATACTAGTGTAGCAACAAAAGAATTGACAAAATCATTTGGATGGGACACTTATGATTCTTTCATGCAGCATGATGTGCAAGAACTTAATAGAGTCTTGTGTGAAAAACTTGAAGATAAGATGAAGGCATGCTGTTGTTTCATTTCTTAAATATGCTGGTCTAATTGTAAATCTGTATGGTTTAATATTTTAGTAATTGCTTTACTGGTCCAGGGTACAGTTGTGGAAGGGACAATACAAAAATTATTTGAAGGGCATCATATGAACTACATTGAGTGCATAAATGTGGACTTCAAATCAACCAGAAAAGAATCGTTTTATGGTATGGATTTTTGTTTCCCAGATTTGGCTCATCTTTGATTTGAATTATGAACTGTTATTATGGTGGCGTTTGGTTGGGAACTTTTATACCTTACAAGTGGATTTGATTCCAATTATGTTTGTTAGACTACTTCTGCTACCACACTATTGGATTCAAATCTTTTATTTAGTAATCATAAAAGTCATTCCTCTAAATCCTCTTTCCATCTACTTTTGTACATGGAATAGAAAATGAGGAATTAAGAAAAAAAGAAAAAAAAGAGGTCATCCTCCATGCATTTAATGTGAATATATATACATACATATATATATATATGTATGTATGTATGTATGTATGTATGTATGTATTATATATATTTATATAGTTATTTATTTACATTTGTAATTAATTAATTAGATTCTGGTTCTTGTTTGCTACCAAACAAAGAGACTACTTTTACTAAAATGAATTCCAATTATTAAGTATTTGATTCCATTTGCGATTTTGATTCCGATGTTTGAACCATAGATATGTTCAATTTTGCAGATCTTCAACTTGATGTCAAAGGTTGTCGTGATGTTTATGCTTCTTTTGACAAATATGTAGAAGTTGAACGACTTGAGGGCGATAACAAGTACCATGCTGAAGAACATGGTTTGCAGGTTAGGAATGGTGGTAGTGTAGGTTTTTAGCTTTTGATAGTTTATCCAGCTTTTTGAAACATTAAGGACCTGTTTAGTAACATGCAAATTCTCAATTCTCCCAAGCCTCCCATTTTCTGGAAAAATGGAAAGCACGTATTTCTTCCTTTATGACCACTATTATAACCATCTATCAAAACCACCACACCTTCTTACCCCACTTACTACTCACACCACTCCCACCTACCTACTATCCAATGTGGCTCCCAACACCTACCATCACTATATTACGGTCACTGCCTATTTCAACCCATCTATATTTATCACCCACTCCACATACCTATCACTACTACTATTTCCATTACCATCACCGTTTCTACCTTACTAGACCACCACCATAATTATCATTGTTTATTACACCCGCAACTATTTACCTACCTACCCCGTCACCGCCACCTACCTATACCCATCCACCCACCCCCTCCTACCTACTCTCACCACCACTATCACTTCTTAAAACCATGGTCCTTGACCACTCATATATTTGCTTTTATGAAAGATTGAACTAACTTTCACATTACTTTATATTTTGTAAATTAGAAAATAATTGAATTTGAATGCCTTTTCCAGTTTTCAAAATAGAAAATGGAAAGTTAGAAAATTGTAGGAAAATGAAAAACACTCTATTACTATGTAGGCTTAATGTATACTGATTGTTGTGAAGCTGTAAGACTTTGCGACTTGCTATTAATCTATTAGTATGAGCTAAGCTGTGTTGTTGGGCGAATATTTTAAACATGAATGGGTGGCAAGATACACTTAAGCTCAAGAATGGTGCACTTTCTAATAGAGTTCCCAAGTGCTCTTGTAAATCTTCTTGATAGGGGAGTAAATGCAGATTTATAGTTGCACTTGAGACCTCTATTAGGCATTGTACCCTACCTGTAGTCCTGTACTGTGGTTATCTAAAATATGGATAATGTGTATACAAATATATGCCTTAATAAACTAAATGGTTTCTACTGTAAACAGCAGCATTTTTGGAGATGTTAATGATGCAGAGCTCAACAGCAAAAGTTTGTGTTGAGTGCTTGACCTTTTTTCATGCAGAAATGAACTTTTTGCTCATCTATATAGTCCTTTGCAAATTCTTCGGCTCATTGATTAGCAGTGACTATTTCCTCCTGGTTTACATTTCAAGTTTTGATGATTTCCTGGATTTCAGGATGCTAAAAAGGGTGTACTATTCATTGACTTCCCTCCAGTTTTACAGCTTCAATTAAAGCGGTTTGAATATGATTTTATGCGAGATACTATGGTTAAGGTTAGTATTAGGAAACACAGTTAGTTGTTTCCACAACTTGGTTGGTGTTGCTAGTATAGCCTTCTAGTGTTTTATTTTATATAACCTTCAAGCATTGATGCTTTGTAGCCTTGTATTCTATATTTTTCATGTAGTACATTTTATTTCTGCAAAAATATGTAGTCTAACCTACTTCTTTTTCATATGCATGAATATTAGGTCAGTCCATGATAATTTGATGTAATAGGTCTTCACAAAAACTGTGTTTTCTTTTCATATGTTCTATTGGGGGATTGGTTTGGAAGTAATGTTGCTGCCCTTTTTTGTTTTTTGTTTTTTTTGGTCCTGCCCTGGAGTGTTGTTTGCTACTTGCTCTGTTCTATATGTTGAATTGTAGTGCACAACCAATATTAGAATCTTGTGTACTGCATACTTGCATAGCCTCTCTTGTATTCCTTGCCTTCCATTCTTTGCTTGAGTGGTTTTCTATGATTTTTTGGGTAGTTTATGCTTATACGGTGACACATATATCGTATTCCTAATGCCCAAGTACTTCACTACTACCACCTATACTGTTTTGAGTGAAAATTCTCAGATACCACTATGAAACATGATGTAAATCTTTGGCTTATTGTATATATGGTTTCTATGTAATGTTTTCAGTATTGAGCAATTATGGTCATTATAATGATTGTGCCTTTATGCAGATAAATGACCGCTATGAATTTCCTCTAGAGCTTGATCTTGATAGAGAGAATGGGAAATATTTGTCTCCTGATGCTGATAGGAGTGTTCGCAACCTCTATACACTTCACAGGTGATTTTGCCTTTTTTTTGGGGGGGGTCTCTGGATGCATGTAGATTTTTCTGTTATGTTATTGGTAATGTTATATATTGTTGAGATTCAATACCATTTGTCTTCTTTTTCTTGACAGTGTGTTGGTCCATAGTGGTGGTGTGCATGGTGGACACTACTATGCTTTCATCAGGCCTACTCTATCTGATCAATGGTATATTTATATTCATGAATTGTTCATCAGTATATGTTTTCTGTTTCATTTCTGAAGCTTATCATCATCATCATCATCATTTATATCCGTTTCAATGTTGCCATTTGATTGTGTGTTAGGTACAAATTTGATGATGAACGGGTCACCAAAGAAGATTTGAAGAGAGCTTTAGAGGAACAGTATGGTGGTGAGGAGGAGGTAATACCCTGCCATTTTATCCTCCAAAGACTTATATCCTGCTGGCTGTTGCTTTATATTTCATTTTGATATCTGACTTATTCTTTTTGTTGTCAAATAGTTACCACAGACGAATCCTGGGTTCAACAACACTCCGTTTAAATTTACAAAATACTCAAATGCTTACATGCTTGTTTATATACGTGAGAGTGACAAGGATAAGATAATCTGTGATGTTGATGAGAAGGATATTGCAGAGCACCTTAGGGTAGGTTCTTCAGATTGGTTTGCCTGTCTTTGAAGAAGAAATTATTCTGTCTTGATGAATAATGTTTGTTCAACTTTTTCCAGATAAGGTTGAAGAAAGAACAAGAAGAGAAGGAGGATAAGAGAAGATATAAAGCACAAGCCCACCTTTATACCATTATCAAGGTTCTCTAATATAAAGTTGACACATGTCCTGAAAAAATTGCTGTTTCTCAGAAGGCATTTCTCATAAACTGGTATTGCATGTAGGTTGCCCGTGATGAGGATCTAAGAGAACAGATCGGTAAGGAGATCTATTTTGATCTAATTGATCATGAAAAAGTTCATAGCTTCCGTATTCAGAAACAGATGCCTTTTAACCTGTTTAAGGTACTTCCAAAACTGTTTAACAATTGTAACTAACAACTTTTCATTTGATAGTAGTGCTTTCTAGCTAAATCCTGACTGTAGTAAATTGGTGTTGATTTTTTCTTTAAGTTTGTAGTCTGAAAGTATAAACATGTTTGTTCTTCCCCATTGATGACTTGACTCTCTTACTTAGTATATCTCCCAGACATCAAGTTATGTTTGTAAGATGAATGGTAACTGAAGGCTTCTGCGTTTCATGTTTGGAGCATTTTAAAATAAAACTAATTCCCATGGAAAACAAATTTGAGTAATTGGATGCAAATCTTTGCATGAGATTAATGTTGTAAGAGAAGGGCAAATTGATGTGTTGAAAAATCAATGATGTTTATATTTTTCATCCACTGTAATAGTGTGATCAAAATTGTGTGCTTGTATATCCCTTTATTTATGTAAGTGTGGCTACAAATCTTATACTCCGTAAGTACCAAAATGTATAGAAGTTGTGAACGAGGAGCTAACATGATGTCAAGTCCATCTTTTTTTTTTTTTTTTTTTTTTTTTTGCTTTCTTTTCTTTTTTTTTTTTTTGCTTTCTTTTCCCCCCTCTATTATTAAATTTCTTTTCTCAGTGCTAGTTAACATATCAATTTGGATATGAATCATGGGGAAGTATGGTTTGCTTTATTTATTAAATTATTTATGGTTTGTCATTTCTATGTTTCTTGTACTAAATTCATAATTTCTGATCTGATTGTACTTTTGGAAGTTCTGTGAAGTATGTACAATGTGTCTATGCTTTGGTGTTTTAAGTTATTAATCATGGATGTTGCAGGAGGAAGTTGCCAAGGAGTTGGGTATACCTGTACAGTTTCAACGGTTTTGGATTTGGGCAAAGCGGCAAAATCACACTTATCGCCCCAATCGGCCATTGACTCAACAAGAGGAATTACAAACAGTGAGTTTGCTTTCTCCTCTTAATATTGTTTTTTTTGCATTGCATTTTTTTAAAATTATGTTATGAGGTAGTATTATCTTAAAATATGCCAAAATGTCTCAATGCATGCTTTTTTTGTATTTGGCTCTTAACTAGTTCTATATTTTCAAATAACTTAGTCTAAGGTATTAAAATATACTTTTTAGTCGTTTATCTTCTATTAATACTTTTAGTTATTCATGCATATTGTCTATTCTGGTATGTGTTTCTGTTAGTGTTTCAACCTTCACTAGTTTTTCCAATAGTTGAATTGGAAGTCCTTGTAGAGGAATTAAATGTCTATGAAACTGCTATTACTGTTTATCCTTTCTATCTAGTTTGCTCAAATTCTTTAACTCATGCATCATTTTGTAAGTGCAGGTTGGGCAGTTGAGAGAAGTCTCTAACAAGAGCAATACTGCTGAGCTTAAGTTATTTTTGGAAGTGGAGTATGGATTGGTAATTTCCTTGATCATCATAACACTTTTCTTTTTATTTTTTAATTGTTTTATACAATTTGTTACAATTTCAAAAAAATTTCAGGATCTACGTCCCATTCCTCCACCTGACAAAAGTAAAGAAGACATACTTCTTTTCTTCAAGCTTTATGATCCTGAAAAAGAAGAGTTTCGGTAAGCTGTTCTGCATAAAGGAATAACAACTTAGTCATTTACTTATAGTAAGGTGGTTTTTCACTACACATATATGGTATTTCCAGGTACGTTGGTCGGCTTTTTGTGAAGAGTACCGGTAAACCAATTGAAATATTAATGAAATTGAATGAGATGGCTGGATTTCCTCCTGATCAAGAAATTGAACTTTTTGAGGTTTGTGTTATTGCTATCTGTCTTCTTGTTGTTATGATAATCACTTTATTACACTGCATTTGTTGTTAAATATACATTTAGCATCAGAATGAATACTTTTATATCTTTATTTATTTTTTGTTTTTTTGGATAGGAAATTAAATTTGAGCCTACTGTCATGTGTGAACGCCTTGACAAAAGGGCTTCATTTCGCTTCAGCCAGGTATGCATTTGTCTTCCTTTGCCCTTGATTGGATATTGAACCTGAAGTTAATTTTCAATTTTGATGTTAGATTTTTTTTTAATTTTTTTTTTAATTTTTTATTTTTTTAAATTCTGAGTTCGGACAGATTGAAGATGGTGATATTATATGCTTTCAAAAGCGGCCTACCCCTGAAATTGAGGAGCACATTAGATATTCAGATGTCCCTGCTTTTTTAGAATATGTTAAAAATCGCCAGGTAAATCCTCACTTTTGGTATTTGATTAACTAGTTGTGAATCTTCACTATATATTTTCTTTCTTAAAAAAAGTATTCAACTAATATGATTCATGCTGTTTTTGGAACTCGGAGGCACTTTAGTGTATATGCACAAGCATTGCTAGTGGTTGTAAATCTGTGTTTCCAAAAAAAAGTAATAAAATTTCTTAAGGAGCACATATACATCCATTTCAATGGTAAAGGTGTTGATGCGACCAATTTTGAGTTCATTTTATGTTCCTTTTTTGGTATGCAGATTGTACATTTTCGCACTCTGGAAAGACCCAAGGAGGATGATTTTTGTTTGGAGCTGTGAGTTTATTGAATCTTTATGCTTAGATTCGCAGTGATGTATTTCATTTGCTTTTTGATATGTTTCTTGATCTTTGGCATTGCCATATTTCCAGAGCAAAGAATCACACATATGATGATGTTGTGGATAGAGTGGCTCAGCACCTTGGATTGGATGATCCATCCAAGATTAGGCTTACTCCTCACAATTGCTATTCCCAGCAACCCAAGCCTAATCCCATCAAATATCGTTCTGTTGATCATTTGGTGGACATGCTTATCCACTACAATCAGGTGAGTTCAATTTGAGCTAATGACAGCATTTTACTATAAGAGAAGGAAATGAGGGCATGAATCGTGATAGTTCGGTATTGCTACTAGGGAAAAAATTATGCAGGTGCACTAACCATTCATTGCTTTCTTTGACAGATTTCTGATATATTGTATTATGAAGTTCTTGACATTCCTCTGCCAGAGCTGCAGTGTCTCAAGACACTGAAAGTTGCATTTCATCAGGCCACAAAGGATGAGGTGAATCCAAAATGATTTATTGGTAATTTTTAACTTAACCATTTCTGTAGTGTCTTATTGTATCTTATGTGTTGTCAGGTGGTAATTATCAATGTTAGGTTGCCCAAACAGAGTACTGTTGGAGACGTGCTTAATGAAATAAAAACAAAGGTACCCGTACTTTATTCTGTTTTACTAGCACCATCTTTCTGGTTATTAATTGGATTTGTGCCCTTTTCTTGTTTCACTACACTATATTTCTTGAGAGTGATTTTTCTCATTGGGATGCATGTATTGTTTTCCGTTTTTATCGAAGTAGTAAAGCATTGTTCCATTATTGCTCTCACCTTTGCCTTTTCCAAAAAAAAAATAAAATGAGGAGAAACTTTCAGAACCTCAGTGAAGTATATTCTCCTACATTCACATATGCTGTATTTGTATGCTGAAACAGGTTGAGTTGTCTCATCCAAATGCTGAACTAAGATTGCTTGAAGTCTTCTATCACAAGATATATAAGGTAAGGTGCCTGGGAATTCAGAAATGTTAGTTTTAGACTTTTTAATCTAATTCACATTTCACTTGTGAAACTGCAGATCTTCCCAAACAGTGAAAAAATTGAGAATATAAATGATCAGTACTGGACATTGCGGGCTGAGGAGGTGAGCTGTTTGTGTGAGAATATAAATGATCAATACAGTTTATAATATGTCCATGTAATACATCTAGCTGTATTAATACTGCATTTATTTTTTCTTTTCACAGATTCCAGAAGAAGAGAAAAACCTTGGCCCTCATGATCGTTTAATTCATGTTTACCATTTCACCAAAGAGACATCTCAGAATCAATTGGTAAGTATATACTATTTTTTACATTGCTGCTCAGAAGTAATTACTTTTCAATTCAAAATTTGACATGTATTTTCCATTTGCATTGTTTTTCACAACAGCAAGTTCAAAACTTTGGGGAACCCTTCTTTTTGGTTATCCATGAAGGTGAAACTTTAGCAGAAATTAAAGTCCGCATTCAAAAGAAATTGCAGGTTCCTGAAGAAGAATTCTCCAAGGTTTGATATTTCCGTTGCATTTACTATCTCTGCAGCATTAGTTTCCAATGGCAATGCTGTACTAGATAAAATTTTTGTGATAGCAACGATGCACAATAGTGTTGTTTGCGGTTTAGGCTTCTAAAACACTATCATTGATCTGGATTCTAATTGCTCTTTGTGGATGGACAGTGGAAGTTTGCATTCTTGTCACTGGGACGTCCAGAATATCTTCAGGACTCTGATATTGTTTCTAGCCGTTTTCAGGTCATGGTTACTACTCTACATATATATATATATATATATATATATATATATATATATATATATATATATATATACATCTTTTTTTTTGTCTCCCGACTTTAAATATATACTAAGCAAAATTTGAAAATTGGTATTTCATGTTTAGCTGCTGTCTATTTATTTTCCTATTGTCACGTGAACCTAATAACTAAGACATTTTTCCTTCTTTTCCCAGAGACGAGATGTGTATGGGGCATGGGAGCAGTACCTTGGTCTCGAGCACTCCGATAATACTCCAAAGCGGGCTTATGCAGCTAGTCAGGTAATGGATCCTGGATTATATATCTTCTATGTTTGGTAGGTTCTCTGCCCAATGTAGATATTGCGCTCAGAGCACTATAAACTTATACACAATCAGATGCTCTGCTCTACTTTCAAGTGTTCTAATTGTCTTCAAATCAACATTGGCAAATTATTTAATGAAGCCATGGATGCCGATAAAGGCATCCTTTGCACAAAGCTAGAGATGGCATTTTTACAAGTCCTCTCACTGTCACGTTTTTTGTGATTGCAGAACCGTCACACTTTTGAAAAGCCAGTTAAAATATACAATTAAACCATGGCACGTTCTGATTTAAAAGCAGTCAAGGGAGCTCAATGCTCATGCAACTCTGAAAACAAATGGGAAATGCACCTTATGCACGTGATGGGAGCTCCAGAATATCAAATCGAAATTGAGGCTAGCAGGGGAATAGATTAGTACTAGTTTCGCATTCTGTGTTGTGTTTTCTTGTTCGTTATCTTGTAACATTCTTCCTTCACTTTCTTCCTTACCCGTATAATCTTTATTCACACCCCCACTCTCCCCACCTAGCTACTTGTGTTGGTTTGTAGCCTTTATTGAAACATGAACCAAGTGGGGACTGGGGGGTTTCCCCTCCCGCGTATGTATCTCGACCCTATAAATTCTTTTTCCCCTCGGGTATCCTTTGCAGCTAGCTGGTGGCCTGCTGTAGAGAGTGGCGCCTCCTATTATAGCTTGTGTAGTCTTGCATAGAAAAGATTTTGGTAGGAAGAATGTATAGTATATATAGTTGCACACATTCTGAATACTGACTGGTGTTTTCAATTTTTGAATTTCCCCATCCTCTTGTTTGCAATCTGACTTTATTATGATCAGGCAAGTAGGCAATTGCTCTTGTAAACACAAACTGCCTCTGTAGTTGAGTTTCTTGGTGTTTTATAATGCCATCTCTAGGCTTTTTTGCCTCTTCTCTGGGTCGTCTGTACACAATTATGTCATACATTGTGATACACTTCAATGGATATTAACAATATAAATGTGTATTATGTAGTCTTTTATTAAGGAAATACAGTACTATTATATATATATATATATATATAAATTAAAAGAAAAGAATAAATATTGCTATGTAATCATCCAAGTCAACAATTAATCGGAAGGGTTGGGAACCGGCTACTAGATGAAATTGAAGGTATTTAAAGCGTTGAGTGGAGTGATTGCAAAATTTAAGTTTGGTGGCCAATTTGACCCTTATTCTTTTATTATATATATATATATATATATATATATTGCAAATGAATGAATTAAACGTCAAAGATCCCGTCTTATTGTCTTTTTTATTCTTGGAGCTTCACATACTCAGAAGTGTGAAATTAGAATTTTGTTGAGTGTTAAATTGAAGTTGTCATTGAAAAGGTGAACACAAAGTCAAACTCAAAGTGGAAAAGAGGGAGAGAAATTATAGAGCACCACCAAGAGAATTTTGGTAAGTTTTCTCAATTTTTTCCTAGTTTTCATTAAAGTACATTGTAGTATTAACAACGCCTCCATTGAAACTTGATCTCATAATCTGCTATATAGAAGAAATCACTACATGCCATCTGAACACAAGGTATATTTACACTTTCTTCTTCCAAAAAACACAATTAACCTTGCTCTGAGAAGTTAGATGAGTTAAATGTAAATAAAACAAATATAAAAAATTATAACTAAACATAGGATTGAAGCTCACTAGCAATCTCTGTGGGTCTCTCAAGTAAAAAATCACAGATTTAAACTCCAGTGAGGACATTAACTCTTTGCGCTTCAATAAATTGAGTTGCGCTTCAATAAATTGAGAAAATATACATAGATAGATAGTACATTGTAATATAATCAGTAGTACTCAACAAAAATCTTGATTTTAAATTAGTCAAAACTCAATATAATGAAAATTTTACTTAGGTTAAATATCTTCGATTAACAAAGATGATCCAAATTAAGAGATTATATCTATACATGAAACAATAATAGTCAATACATTCCCTTAACCAGACAAGAGCATATAACGTTTCAATATTCACATTTCAGGGATTAATATAATATAACCTGAACAAAGGTAAAATGATCTAAAAAATGAAAAGAAAATAAAAACCATATTGACAAAGAATGTCAAATTATGTAAGTTACCCATTATAGAACTGAGATTAAGAATTTGGAAAGCTATCAATCTATCATTTCTGTCTTGACCTCCATAGTTCATTGTCAAGCTCATTTCTGGCCAACAGTTTCTGCCATCATAGAGTTGCAGCAAAAATGGCAGCAATTCTTTCTCTCTATAACTCACTCTTCCCAACTGCCTGCCATTCAGCACACAGTTCTGCCATAACAGACCGAAGCAATGTAGAGATTTCTCGACCACTTATCCTGAAAAATAAATTCCAAATGCATCGTTAGGAAAACGGATGATTGAGATTAGACGTCTGATTCTCGGGACCTTTGTGTATATTATCTTGCACGCAGAATGCACGTGCTGCCAAATATTTTCACGCAAGAACATTTCCACTAAGTTCACGATGCTAGACAATTTCGATTGATTATTATGTCATAATACCTTTACGTGTGTGCTTGGAAACGCTGATGTGCGTAGGGTTTCCTGCGCCTCATCATTGAATTTAAATTTCGGTATACTCAATATGAAGGCGGCTTGATCAGCGGTAGCAGCCATGGCCGTTATTCTGTAACCACTCTCCCATCGTCGATGAATTCCATCGCTTGGGTAAAGAAAATCAAGCTCTACTACCTGCAATAGTGTCCAGAAAGAGTACGGATGTTACGAGATGCTGTCTAGAGAAATGACAAAATATGGTAAGAACTAAGAATATAAATACAAAACACTTTCTTACCTGTTCAGAAAACCCGGCATTCCTGGACATCACCACGCACCAACGACTGCCAGCAGTAGCCATGGATGTGACATGGAAACCTTCTTTCCACTTTTTGTTTATCCATTTGAAGGGAAAAGAATCACCGACTTTGTAAGACTGTTGAGTATAGGGAGTTCCTAAACAATTCCAGGATGCAACAAAAGATAGGCATGAATAATAACGAGAGGGATAAGAGAAGGGGTGGGAAGTGCAACTTGTGGACTAAAATTGTGCATAGATAGTGCATGTCAGTAATAAATTCACCGTCATCATTAATATTTCTATATCCAAAATGAATCTTACATATATATACATAAATACATACATAGATGCGTATATGTATTTATTACCAACCACTACACCTCCCAAGAAACTAGCACTAATGCTTTCAAGAAGGCAGAATATCTTCCGAGTAGAATGTTTTTAATTTGACGGCTCATAAATGTGTCGGACACTTATAAAATACGCCCCCAACATTTTTCCAAATATGTATTGGACAAATACAAGTAATTAATGTCATGCATTTGGAAGTCAAAACATTTATTCCTTGCGAGAGTGGAAAACATTCCCATTTAGATTAGATAAGATTAAAGACTGGTTAACTAAGTTGAATTGTTCGTGGAAACTGGAAAAGTAATAGAATATTTATAATATTCCTAAAATGGAGTTAATGAAGGTTGATTAATTAAACTCGGAGATAATAGAGTTCCTAGATTTCCTATCATGTGTCCCCTATTTAGTATATAGAGTTAATGTCATCTGGGGTCCTCCGAGTATAGTAGTTTTGCCACGTTTAGTCCTAAACTTTCAAGTTAACCACTCGTGGTCCTTCAACTTTCAAGAAGCATTAATTTATTCAACAGAACGACATTTAATAAAATGTTATTTGAAGGAACTTCAAAGAATAAGAACAAATCGGCCATGCTAAAGATTATTCTGAGATGTAGGTATCTAATGCACATACAGAAATGGAAGGAAAAGATGTTGGTATATATGATTACCTAGTATACTTTTACACATGCATATGCTTGAATGCATTTACTCGTTAGTGTATCCCGACTGCATTGTTTCATAAATTTGAGACAAATACCAAGCACGTCGTTTTTCACTTTTGCCTTGTCTCATAAATGCTTCGTTTTCATGATTCTTAGTTTTCTGGTGCTTTATAAACCATGTAGAAGTTTTGGATCCTATTTATATATATCTCCATATTATATATAATAACATTTTCAACACTGCTGCATAATCATACCTAAGACAAAAACAGTTGCATAAAAAAATAGTGTATAATATTACAAAAATAGTGTGCGACTAGTGTGCGGTTAATGTGCAACTAGTGTGCAAATAAACAAGAACCAAGCAAAATTTTCCCTTTTTCGTAAAAAGTGAAGCAACATGCATGTGCAAATAGTGTGCAAATAAAGAGGAACAAGCAAATATCCAACCTTTAGACATAACGACCAATGAACTTCCATTATCCGCACCCGCTAAGGAGCTAATATAGTAGTTCTTTTCCCATTGCTCCATTATCCAATCCTAAAAAGAATCCCGAAGGTTATCAGTGGTCTTGAAAATATGACTGCCAACAATGTGAGCAAATTGAGGTACTATGTAATTTAGGAACCGACCTTATGAAGGAAGAGATCTGAAAGCTCAAAAAATTGTGAAGAGAAACCTGTCCCTCCATCCATGACTATGGCCCAAAGGTTTGCTGCAGAAGCCACACAGCTAATATATAAGCCATCTTCGTTACCCTTTTCTACATGTTGCCGGATCCTCGAGTCTGCAACATTGTAGTGATACCTAGAATCCAAAGAAGTAGTTCTTATGACGTAATAATGATACTTATAATAAAGTAAAATGAACATTGTCATATGGGGATAACTTTGGAAGTTTGAATCAAAAAGATGTATCCTCATGTTCAATCTTCTCATACATGTTAGGCACATACATATGCAAGCAAAGATGTTTTAATAAATTTATTAAAAAAAAAAAAAAACAAACAAACAAACATTTAGCCAAAACCATACTGCACAAGCATTAATAAAAGCTCGTCCTGCATTCTTAAATTGCTTTCCTTTCTTTCTGCGGATGTTGGGACAGGGAAAAATGTGTGCCGTCATTCAACCACATGAAAAAGATGTGTGAAATCACAATATTTTTTATGCAGTAGTTGCTTATGGAAAGAGTAAAATATTTTTTTGGCATTTAAAGTTCGTTCAAAGTTGAAATTAATCATCAATGTTTCCAGCCAAGTTTCCAACAATGCGTACACAGTATGTGGCTAGTCAAGGAAGCTTTTTCGGAAAACTAATGATGATAAACCATTAAAAGATCATTCCTCGGGCGCTCAACTTTGTCTAGTGACATGCACAAATGCATGCATGCACCACCTCAGAAAGCACCCAAGTGTCATGGCCCTGAGGACTTGTGTGCCTTGGCCCCTTGCTCTAAACGGGAAAACCATATAGTGGAAATTTTTTATGAATGCACTAATGTTTGATTGGAATTTTATCTACACACACTTTTAAAAAGAGCTAACTCAGACCTTGACAAATCAAATAACAGATCCATAAATATGAGAACCTTCTGCGTAGAGCATGGATACATGCAATATATATATATATATATATATATATATATATATATATATATATATACGAGTATCATAAATGGAGAGGAAAAGTCAAATTCAAGAAAATGTACAACCAAATTCAGATGTGATATGAAGCATCTTAATATAGTAAATATGTTGTTTTATTTGACAAGAGATTCAAGAAAATATCTATAGTATCTCCAGGTCAGCAATATCTATAGCAGTCAGAAATGTGGGTTCTATGGCTCAACAGTACCAGGTATATCTAAACAAATAATTGTTTCATCATAAAAGTTCATCATTTTATTTAAAAAGTTTTAAGAGCCGTGGTATTTGTATTGGGGCAAAAGATACAAGCAGAATTCTTAGCACTTACAATCGCATGCATCATTTGTCATATGCAAAAGAAGATTGGCATACTTTTACATGGAATTTACCTCTGCTTCATGGGGTGCCGTGCATTGTAAACTGAAATCCACTGGGTAGCAGGATTACCCAGTCGTATTTTCTTCCTCGGTTGCTCATCTTCATCCAAGTTGATTGTCAACCTTACCCGCTTCTGCCAAACCTGGCCACAGAAATGAAAAGCACACTATAGAACACCAGTAACTTTTAAAATAAAAATAGAAAATAAAAACCACCATCAGTGCAAATGATCAGATATAAGTAGACAGGTGAACCTTAAGAGCACCATCAATCCTTATTGGCCTGAGTGAAGTGCATGGCTCGATAATAGTATCAAAGAAAGATATAAGCTTTCCATAGTTTGGCTCTTCATCAAACTTCATATTTATTACAGCCTCAAGAAACTGTTGGAATGGAGCAGGACAAAAGCATTGCATCAACTCAGGAGAAATGGCCATCTTCTTTTTACAAACAAGAAAATTCTTGTTGTCACCCTGTTACATCAAAACAAAGTCAAGAAAATAAATAAATAAATAAATAAATAAATACGACGTACACAGAGAGAGAGAGAGAACCCAAGATAGTAATTAATCTTTATCAGCCAAGACAATCACTGGAACTACAGTTCATTCAGCAGTTATAAACAAACCTGACAGCCCTGCCATGGTAGCCTTCCCTTAATGAGGAATATCAGCGTGTATGCTAAAGATTCCAGGTCATCTCTTCGACTTCCAGTCCGGCCCAGGTGTGCATGTACACTTGCATATCTAAGTGTGCCCCTGCCAACAGAAACAGGTTTAATGCATATTCACTACGGGTTAAAATATCACCATGCAAAATTTTACAAACCTGAAAATATCAGGTCGCTGGTCATATTGAACATGCCGACCAGATCCTAAGTCTTTCCATCGAGATGCTGAATAAACAATGTTTTAGAAATGAGTACCATTTGTTTCAGTTAATCAAAGGAAGTAGAACTGCAAAAGATATGCTTGAACAATGGGGATAAACCAAAATAGCATAACCCTGTGTCAACTAGAGCAGTGCAAAATAAACAATGCTAATACACAATGAGAGAATATTAGATGCATCCTACCCAAACCAAGATCAATAAGATATAGCTTCTTTTCATCAGCAGTTCCAGGCTGACCAAGCAAAAAATTCTCGGGCTTGACATCACCATGCACAAAGCTTGATGTAGGATTATAGGAATAAGAAAGATAAGAAAAAATTAAAGTATAGCAAAACTCAGGAAAAAAAAATAATTATAATAACTACTTTGAAGTGGGAAGAAAATTAAGCAAAAGACAGTAACGAAGTGTCGAAGTACGCAACAATTTTAATTAAATATAAAGAATAATTTTTCAGGAAAATGTCAAATCCAAACTCATTGCCGGAATCATAGGTCAAAGAGAAGTAGAGAACTTACCCCTTCGCATGAAGCTTTTCAAGAATTGAAATTGCCTCCATTGCAATACAGGCAACCATACCTGGTGGCATTCTGTGGTATGCAGTGATAATTAAAAATGATATATATGCAGCTTGTGCTAGAAACCAATATGTAGGATTATGCATGTCTAGTGTCTACGTAAGTCAGCATGAATAGGAAAGACCAAAAGACACAAAAAGAGAGAAAGAACTATATTACGTTTGGCCTAGATTGTTCCAGACATCCCAAAGACTTGGTCCGAGCATATCCATAACCTGAAATGCAATATTTAGCAAACTTCAATACAAGAAAAGTAAGAATTCAAATACAAAAAGCAAATACTAACACTTACCATAATGTAAAAATCTCCCAGACGACCCTTGTAGTGAACCCATGGAATTCCATAGCACCCATTCACAGAGCTTTTCAATGAAAATTCAGGCATTTGACCATAAATTAGACATCTGAAGATTAGAAAAGATAAATAACCTGAACTTCAGATCTTAAAATTAAGATTCGATACTTACTTGTACACTTGCCACTCATTAGGAGGGTTGTAGTTGCAACCCTTACTATTTTGGTGTTCAAATTTTATTGCAACCTGCAAAAAAACATCATTGATTTATATTCTATGCATTACATTAAATAGGGCCTCACAAGCCTTAAAGAAGTGAGAAAAAGAACCTGAACAGCATCTGGTCCCGTTCTGCCCATACCACCAGTTACCCTTCTGCCAACATAGACTTGGCCAAAACCACCTTTGCCCAACTTCCTTTCAGTTATATATACAGGAGAATTTCCCACTTGCACCTAACATCCAATCATATAAGACATAAGATCATGAGAGGAAAGAAAATTGCAAGGCCGTAAACATAAAGTTATAATAAAATAAAGGTTCAATTTCACACCGTGATGCTTCTGGGCAGACATCCCAATTAAAATTCAATTTACATTTGTGTTTCAATAGAAATAAGGAACAAAGAGCAAAAAACAAGCAGGAAGATACCCTCTCAGGCACAGGAGTTGTATTTGCCTCTTCTTCAACTCCCATTATTTTATCTGCACTAGCGCCCTCGTTTGCTATATCTTTGTCTGCAGCACCTTCAATTTTATTAAAAGCTGGTTCTGCTATACCAATGGCAACAGCTTGAGGAAGAATCTTGCAATGCGGTGCGCGACCAAAGTCTATTGATCTAACTGCATCGCCCCTACCAGCAGCTACTGCTCTCCCACGACCTCCTGCTGAAGGCCCTTTCGGTGCAGCTGCTGCATTACTTCTACCTCGTCCCCTTCCTCTTCCACCTCCACCTCTCCTTCTGGTTCCATTCTGAGCAGGCAATGTCAAATTCTCTTCTTGGACAGCAGGTTGCTGGGCAGGCTGGATTTCACCAAGCCGCTTTGATCTCCGTAACCCACTACGCAATTCTGGCATTGTGACCCTTGGGCAAATCACATTCCAGTCCAATCACAAACTAAGCTGTCAGTCTCTGCATAAACACACAGATAATAACCCAAAATGAAAAAGATGTTATGGCCACGAATACCAAAAGCATCTGTACAACTTCAAACAGCATACAAGTAAATGTCAAACGTAATATATATGTAATGACATACTCTAGAAATGAAATTCAATGATGGGAATGACTATAAAGATCAAAACTTTCATATATAGAAAGGCAGATGTAAGCTGATAGATTTTCCTAACACTTTGTATATCAGAGAAGAGGAAAATGTATGTGCAAATTTATTCTTCAATACTTGATTTTTCCACAAATGAAGTGACACGGGAAGCAAATTGACCAAAACAACAAACGAACAACAAATTCATCGTTTACTTTACAAACTCAGGGGAAAAAAATATAGAATCTCCTTTCATAAATAACAAGTAACAGCATTCAATTCGATCAAAAGTGCTCACCTCTGAGAAGACAACAAAACAAAAATCAAAACACTTAGAGATCTTTCTCCAAACCGAAACACTGATAAAAAAAGAATTCAAGAAATTCAGATACATAAATTCAATCAGATTAAGAATCCAAGGTAATCAGAACCAAATCGACCAAAAACGGCAACATCATAACACTTTCCGTACACCCCGCCAAAAAGAAAATAAAATTAGAGAAAAAACAAACAAAAAGAAACAAGAAAAGCATTAAAATTGAAATGCGGCAACCTCAGAAACGGCGAATTCCGGAGGCTTTCTGTTCGGCGATGGGGTAAAGTCCGGAATGGATGGGTGTAGAAACGTTACGTTCTGTACAAATTGAGAATCGGTGAAGAGAAACTTTTGTTCGTCTTCTCTTCTGCATACGTATGCAATCCATATGGATGATGATTGTGCGTGTATATATATAGGAACATAAAAGAGTTTACGAAATCTTTGAACAAGGATTGCTGTAATCTGACAATGTGTATCGGTGGGGTGATGAGGTGTGCTGGCGGCCCTTTGGGTGTGTTGATTCCATAGCTTATGCGTCAGTTTCTCTCGTCTATTTATATGTTTACGCATTTTTTCCTCTCTTTTGTTTTTTTTTTTTTTTTGTTTTTCATATTATTTTATTGAGTTAATACCATTTGAGGTCCTCCGAGTATAGTGGTTTTGCCATGTTTAGTCCTAAACTTTCAAATCGACCATTTGTGGTCCTTCGACTTTTAAATTTAACCATTTGTGGTCCAAGTTAACCACCAATGGTCCTTCAACTATTAAATTTTGACCAACCATGGTCCTTTTAAGAGGACTACCACTGGTTAAATTTCGAAACTTGAAGGACCATGAGTGGTTAACTTGGACTATGAATGGTTAAATTTGAAACTCGAAGGACTACAAATGGTCAATTTGAAAGTTTAGGACTAAACGTGGCAAATCCACTCTTATTTTATTTCATTTACACCTCTACCGTCACCACTCAATCAATCACTCACCATTGCAATTTTTATCATTGGTTCAGTAGATAATATTTAGAGTAAAAGATTAGATGAAATACAAATAATACATTGATATAGAGATTAAATTAAAACAGTAATGTTCGATTTAAACGTGAATTAATCTGAATACAATACATAGAATGACTCATATAATTATAGTCTATTCATAACATTTCGTGGTCTAACAAAAATTATACAATATATTTTTTACATATGATGTGAGTTTGGCCTGACATATGTTTCAACCGATAAACTAATTTATATACAACTTTTAATATTTTTGTTGATAAAATTATAGGGCGAAGGGAAAGTATATTAATATGATAACCTAGGTATTATTGGTTTGTTCACATTTTTTGTTCTTGGAGGTCAATTCATATATAACGAGGTTGAGTTTTGTTAGTAAAAGATGTCACATATGTTGCTAGTTCACTAGCTAGCCATCGCATCAGTAACTCTCACTTGACATGATCTATCTAAACACTACGCTAAAAAGGCACCATATCAACTTTATCATCGGATCTTTAGTATGTTGTTGATGCCTTATATCATAAATAGACTTCGCTAATTTGGCAATGACTTCAATTTCACTATTTGTATATGTTAGTCGAGTTTGTTTTTAATAAATCATGAACTTCTTTTTTTTTTTTTAAGCAAATAAAGTATATTATTATTAAAGCAACGCAATTAAAAAGTTGAGTGGGTCATCAGTCCACTCAGAGTGAGATAACCCAGCTCCATTAACTGTAGCAAGGGAATGGGCAACTTGATTCATTTCTCTACGAATGTATCGTACTGAACCTTGCAACCAACAATGGAAGAAACAAGACGCTGACACTCATGAGCTATAGAGCCTATATGGGAACGATAAATGTTGGCATTCGAAATACTACTCCAACAAAAATTAAGACAACTTGATTCCACTCTAATATGCGTCAAGTCATATTGTTTGATCCACCTGAGAGCCTCCCGTACCACTAAGGCCTCCGCCATAACAAAGGTATTGAATACATCGTAACGGGCTGTTCCTTGTCATCTTAAACACCCCTTGGCCATAAAGGATAATAAAACCATATGTGTCAAGTCCCATTTACGGTTGAAGCCCATCATTTACTTTGCATAACCAACTAAACTAAACTAATCAGTATGTTGTGGTGCCCGGTGGTTTGCGTTCGAGCTACGACCCTAGTTTGTCATATGCACAGTATGAGTTTTCCATGCATTCCAGTTGACTTCGAAGGCTTTCCAAGCTGTTAATGGCGTCATGATACTTCTCCAAACATAGCTTGAGTTAGAACTAAGAGACGCATTTAAGAATGATCCCTTTAGAAAGTAGCGTGCCTAAAATATCTTAGTAACCAACGAGTCATGTTTCGTCAAAAAACGCCATCATTACTTTCCCATTGCTAAATTAAAATCATGCAACTGTTTGAAACTCAAGCCTCCCGCTTTCTTATGGTAGCACATTTTGTTCCAAGTTAACCAATGAATTCCTTCATTAGAATAACTGAACTATTGAACTCAATTGTTGCGTATAAAATAACATTTTCATTACTTCATCAAATTTTATCATTAGAATTGTATGATGTAGTGTATATTGACTCACCGATTCAAATTGTAATACACTATCACCCCATTATGAGACTAACACGAATTCAATTTGAATTACACTAGCATAGTTTAATTCTTATGGTTCAATCATATAACTCTTTGTTAGTTGTTCAACTTCAATATATATATATATATAGGCGGGTTCAGGTGCGGCAGTGTCTTACGGTGCGGCGATTTCTTTACGGTGCGGCAACACTAATAGTTCAACAAATATGCACCATCAACGTTAGGAAAATACACCACACAAAACAAAGTAAACAGAGCCCTGCATCATCAAACACACATCATTATGTGTGAGTAAAAACACCATACACTGTTCGGAAATACACCATTGGGGGTGGTGAGTTATATGGTGTATTTTTTTGAGTCTGTTGTGTATTTTGTGATGTTTTATTGCATTTCACTGTGGTGTGTTTTTCTTACACTGTTGGTGCATATTGTTAACACTGTTGGTATATTCTGAAATTCCGCCGCACGGGAAGACCCCGCCGCATTTGATCTTTATTATATATATATATATATATATATATATATATATATATATATATATATATATATATATATATATATATATATATATATATATTATGTTTTACTAGCAGTTGCGCGAAGCACAGTTTCTATTAAGCATGCCTTTAAGAGTGGGTGTAATTTCCTTCTTCTTCTTTTTCTTTTGATTTAGTTTGAAGGAGTTTTTAATAGAAATATTTTGTTTCAACATGAGATTCGTTGATTTAATCATAAGTATGAAATCATCATTGTTGTATTTATGAACGTATATCTAAAAAATGTGTTTAAAGGGAAGTTTTAATTTTGAATCCTGCCATTAATTAACTTTTCTTTTTTGGGGTGCATATTCAATGTTGTTGTTGAGTTGTTATGTTATTTTGTTGGACATGAAGATTTAGCAACATAAAGTATTATTTTTCATAATTTATTTATGCGATTAAGAAAAACTTATCATACATTTGCATAGCGTATTTTGAAACAATAAATCAATAAAAAATATACTTACACAGTTATGCAACCATATAATCCCTCCTTTTAGTATTTGCCATTCCTCTATTATCGCTTGCACAACTGACACATATTTATTAATAATTAGTATTTCTTATATGCGATGTGCAAAAAATAGGTGCCCAATATTAATATTTTATATTAAAATTTTAAATTTATTTAGATTTTAGATATTTAAATTATTGTAAATAATAATAATAATAATAATAATAATGATGTAAAACATTTCTATAAATTTAATATTTATATTTTAAGATATAGGTAAATATAATCTCAATATATAATGTGTATATTATTATTGAAAATAAGAAAATATATGATGAATGATGTGCATGGTAACAATAGTGAAAAAGATAACGGAAGTTATAACGGTAGGGGTATGTTTGTCCAAAATATTGTATAGTACAACATTTATAGCATAATGTATCATAAAACTTAACGGAAAAAACGGTCATAAATGAAGGGTATAACTTTCATCCACACTTATTATGTTTTTAGATTTGATATAAAATAACCAACAACGCAACTTTAGTGACAATTCAAGAACCACCAGAGCGTTTGGTAATTTCATTATTTGGTGGGCAAAAATAAATTTACTAAGAATTGAAAAGGAAGAAGTAATATAAATATTAAAATGTCTTTCTATAATAACAATTAAGGACAAATTTGTCAATAAACACTCAAACAAGCCACAAAGTGATATCATAAACTAAATTTGCTATTACTTTTTAATTTAGGACTAAAAGTATAAAATTTTAATGAAATAAAATTAAAAATCTATATCTGGGCCTCGTAAAGTACCAAATACTTATGGGCCGGACCAATTACTGTATAGGTTGGGCTGAGGAGGCCCAGTCTAATCCACTTGGAGGAGAAATACTTTCATATTGCGACTATGGCTTTTCTCTTCAAAAAACTGCGTTAGCAGTAGAGTATAGCACAACAATGGCGGGAGCAGAATCTCCGAACCAGAGCTCAGAAATCCGAAAGGACGGAATCAACGACCGATGGGTGATATTCTCGCCGGCGAGGTCTCGACGTCCGTCGGACTTCAAGTCCAAATCGAACCCTAATCCTAATAACCAATCGGAGTGCCCATTCTGCAAGGGCCACGAGCACGAGTGCGCGCCCGAGATATTCCGCATCCCAGCTGATTCTACCTCAGATTGGAGAATCAGAGTCATCCAGAACCTCTACCCGGCTCTCAACAGAGACCTGCATTTCCAGAATCGGAATCATGAAGGTTCCTCGCATGGCGACGTGTCAGTCAGTGGGTTCGGGTTCCACGATGTGGTGATCGAATCTCCGGTTCACTCGGTTCATCTCATCGATCTTTCGCCGGCTGAGGTCGGGGATGTTTTGCTGGCTTTCAAGGCTAGGATCGATCAACTTCGCATGAATGATTCCATCAAATATGTTCAGGTTTATTTTATTTTTCCTTTAAAAATAATATGAGCATTCTACAACTATTTATAAATTCTCATTATATCATTCCTGAACTATGGAGTATCTATAAGTTATTTGGGGACTGGAATTATTGGTCACCGTTCGAAGAATGGAAGCTCAAAAGAAATTGATTAAGATCAGTTGCTTCTTTCCATTGATTTTTTCGTTTTTTTCTTGGCCTAATGTCTGAAAATGTATGTTGAAATAGTAATATGAAAACTTAATGAGGAGTTGAGGACATTGAGTCTTTGTGCGGGCAAACTTTTGAATTTTAATGGTAAACTCTGAGAGTTAATTGATGGAGTGCATATAAAATTTAAAACGCATAAGTTGGCTTGCCGAGGACTAAGGCCTGGAAGAGCATTTCTCAGTCCAATGTAAGCTCAGTTTTTGAGGGGTATAGATGGTTCCACCGTGAGACTATGTTTTGGCTCATTGAAAGATAACAGAGAAGAAAACTTTTGTACTTCCATGTTAGGTGGTTCCACAGTTAGACTAAGCAAATTATGTTTCCTCATCTTGATTGGTAAGGGAAGAGAGGAAGTGATACTTCTTCCAGCTTCAAAGGATTGAGAATGTTGAGCTGCATCCCCCTCCATATCTTCATCCTTTATTGATTTTGTATCCAAACCGACAAGATAAATGGCCTTTGCTCTCTTCTTTAAACTTGGCCTACTGTTCTACTCTCGTCTGCCAAACATATGAAGAATATGATTGAGGCATATAGCTGGAACTGCTGGAGTCTTGATGATAATTTCTGTCTATTCAGAATTCATTTTAATAATTAATACCATATCAGTTGCCATTTGGACATATTTATAATTATTAAGACCTCCCTCAATCCATTGGATCTTAATTTTGGCATTTTTTCCTCTGCTAAATTATTTGGCTAGGTAACCTTTTTTTTTTCCCTTAATCCTGACCTCCCAAATTTAAATTTTGTATTTTGATAAATACGAAAACTTGCCCACCAATACCAATAGTTTACGTATCCATGTTCCATGTGTAAAATATTATTCTCTAATCCATATTTGTACAGTGCAAGGCGCGCGCACACACACAAACCTTGAAACATTTTGAGAATACCTGGACATAGTATGCATACATGTCATCAACACTTCATTTGAATCATTTAGCCATTGATTTGGAATATGATGAATTTCATATTCCATTTCTCTTTTCTTTTCTTTTCTTTTTTTGGTAGTTTTTCGATTTTCCTGGTTTTTAGCTTTGTTGAAACTTCAAACAATCTAGTGGAGCATAGCTTTCACTCTGAGGTCTAACTAGAAGCAACAACTGGTTTTTTGGCAGCTTAGTTAGTTAGTTTTATTCAGTATGTTTCAGGCATGGGGAGCAGCTTAACTATACACAAACCTGTGACATACACTGCATAAAGTTTCTGTTTATTGTTTCTAATGTTATTTATATTTTATATATGGTAATGATTGTTGGCATTTTCTAATGTATTATAGCTATAATAATTGTTCGGTTTGTTCCCAGACCTTTACCTGCTATGGTGACCCTTCCCCAGACACACATACATAAATGATACATATGTGTTCACACCTTTCAGTTTGTCTCAATCATGAATTTTAGTCTTTAACATTGGGTTTATTCGTGTTGGCTTAGTAGGTCTTTAAAAATCATGGAGCCTCAGCCGGAGCATCCATGAGTCATTCTCACAGCCAGATGATTGCTCTTCCTATAGTTCCTACTACAGTTTCTGCTCGTCTCAACAGTATGAAGGAATATTATGAGCAGACAGGGAACTGTTCCCTCTGTGATATTCGTGTGGATGACCTTATAATTCATGATTCAACTCATTTCAAATCGGTGGTTCCATTTGCTGCTACTTTCCCCTTTGAAATATGGATAATCCCTCGGGATCACTCAACTTATTTTCACGACCTAGATAGCGAGAAGGTAATTGATGATTTTTTGTCACTGAACTTATAGTTGGGTGGGTAAATTAGTAAAGACTAAATGGAATTTAAACTGTTCTTGATACCAATAGAATCTTTTAATCATTCAAATAACATTACCTATATTTACATGCACCAGAGTTATAGTCTAATCATGGGGGAGTTATGGAGTATATACTTAAGTATACTCAAATGATCTAAAATGCAACTATTTGCTGTCTGTTTGAATTGTTCATTTCCCTTTTAACATTTACATTAACCAACTCCGTATTTTTTTTAACCATTTCACTTTTCCCACTATATCTCTTTTGAATGGTTTAATAATGTTTAACATTTGTTATCAAAAAATAATGTTTAACATTTTATGTACCACAAAAATAATGTTTAGACTTTTTTAACCGTGCAGGCAGTTGATCTTGGAGGGCTATTGAAATTTATGCTCTTGAAGATGTCCTCACAGCTGAACAATCCACCATTCAACTTCATGATTCACACCTCTCCGTTCCAGGTTGATCCTTCATACCTACCTTGTTGCCACTGGTTTCTCCAAATTGTACCCCAGCTATCCGGGGTGGGAGGGTTCGAGTTAGGAACGGGATGTTATATAAATCCCGTTTTCCCTGAAGATGCAGCCAAAATATTGCGGGAAGTTAAAGTGCCAGACCAGAAATGAATCGTTGGCACGCACCATTGTTGTTGTTGTATAACACTGATGGAAGAGAGCACTAACTATATTGGTGAAAGGAAAGTCAGCAGATCAGGCATGGAAGTGTGTTAGTACTGAATATGCTTCCTCATATGCATATAAATTACTTTTATGTTTGATCTTCAAATTAGATCTGATATTAATAATTATGGAATTTCTACAGCTTTGCACCTAATGCTAATGGTGTCCTGTTTGTATCTATCATGTGTTTTTGATAAACAACTAAAGATTACACCTTCATCAAACACAAAATATTGCAGGACATTGTATAACTTTTCATAATAATAATAATACTCCATTCGTCCCATTTTATATATCTGACTTGACTGAAGTTGTTTTTAATTCAAAATTTGATTGAAATTATTTTAATTCAATTTCATAATATTAAGTTTAATATTAATGTATAAAAATTATATATTTAGAAACTAAATTTAAAATAAATATTAAACAAAAAATTTAAATTTAAATTTAAAAATTATTAAAAATACTAAAGAAAATAAGTAATGAAGAAAGAGTTAGTATGAATGTATGATTAACTCTACAAAAAAAAAAAAATAATGTATGATTAATAAATAGTAAATATGACATGTAAAATGAGACGAAAAGATAATAAATAGAGGTTTGGAAAAAAGGGGGAAAAAATGATTGTTAGAAAAAAATTGTATTATTAACGCACCCATTGCGTGCGCGCTTGTCATGAAAAACATACTCACTGTAATTGTTTTTTCTCTTTCTTCTCTTCTCTCTCCTTCACGTCATTACCTCTCTCTTCCATGCATGTAAAAATTCATCAAAATCTTCAGTGTAGGATGCTCTAACTTTCTTGACAATTTAAAATGTTTGAAAGTTACTATATTTTTCATAGTTGGTGCAAACTTTTACTTGAGAAAGTTACTTAGAGGGTCGATCTTTTTTAATGGTACACAAGAATGTGAATTAAGAGTCAGATGTGCACTGAATATATATTACATGGACTCCTTGCTAAAGATCTTTATTATTTGCATGTGACAAGGATAAGGTAAGTTGGTAACACGATACATGTTGGCAAAAATATGACTATTTTGATTTGTTGGCGATTATTGACAACACTTGAAAGTATTTTGAAACGTATAATAAGTGTGTAACATCAAACATGTTAGTAAAAATGTGACTATTTTGATCCTAATGCCCTTCAACCCTACAAATCACACTAATGAGGTCCCATTTCTTATAGAATGTGACATTGATCAAAATTTGCAACCTACTGAAACACAAACACAAAGAACCAAAGAACCAATAATGCCTCTACTAAAACTTGAACTCACAATCTTCTAAATGGAAGTCTAACCTAGGGGTGTAAACAAGCCGAGCCGAGCCCGAGCATGGGTAGGCTCATGCTGGTGCTCGTTAATGATAACACTGCTCGAGCTCGAGCTCGTGAACTGATGCTCGAGCTCGAGCTCGGCAATTGTGGAGCTGCTCGAGCTCGAGCTCGAGCTCGAATTCGAGCCTGAACTTGAGCTTGAGTTTAGGCTCAATTTTGATCTCGAATTTGACCTGTTTGATTTAAAATTTAAACTACTTTGTTTTATGACTTTTATCCATACATAATTATTAAAGTATTTTAATTTCCATCCCCTAATTATTATTTTTATATACTAAATATAATATAATATAATATAATTATATATTATATATTATATAATATATTATAAGGCTCGCGAGCGGCTCGTCGAGTCGCGAGCCTACAATACCTAAGCTCGGCTCGTGCTCGTTTAATCCACGAGCTGGTCGAGCTCGAGCCGAGCTCGATTTTGACCGAATTCGAGCCGAGTGTTGACCGAACTGTTCACGAGCGGCTCGGCTCATTTACACCCCTAGTCTAACCCAGGTATTATTAGACCACATAGTCTTGGTTGATTATTTTTACTTATTTCTTTTTATATTCTCTTATAATTTTTAAATTCAATTTTTTAGTGGTTAATAGTACTTTGAATGTGAACTCTAAACAATGTTTATTATCCCTCCTAAATTTTACCTCTCATATTTTCTTACATGATGTGGTTCTCAATCATTGGGTAACAATGAATACGCTAATAAACAATTTAGATCTATTTAATTATTAATTAAAATCACAATACATGTTTCATTTACAATGCACATTAATTTTTTTGAATAGCTACAAGTTTGAGTAACTCATAAATAATTTCATTCATTTTCAATTATACTTATATAAATATTAGTCTTTTATATGCGTGATGTGCAAAAAATATGTCGCATATTTATATTTAAAAAATTAACTAACAAATCCTTACTAATTAAAATCTATATGAAATCATAATTATTTATTATATTAATACAATATGTAATGTCTACAGCTATTATTATCACTAAATGATATAAAAAATATATATAATAGATGCACGTGCATGGTAACAATAATGGAACAGATAACAAAAATTATAACACTATGGATATATTTATCAAAAAATTATATAGTGCAACTCTAAAAGTAAAATGTACAAAATCATTAGTACTAAAAATATGATCATAAATTTGGAATATAACTTTAATTAAGACTTATTATGTCTTTAGATTAGATTTTAGATAACATGAATTAGTAAAACTTGTTTGAATTTTTTTTTTTTTTTTTTTTGAAAACAAGTTGTTTGAAATTTATTTAGACTAAAAAAAAATACATACATAACTACGTAAGTACATAAAAACCTTCTCCAAGCTAGAAAGCTCAAACGCCCGCTCGCGCTTCCCCTGCAGCCTGCAACTATACCTTCCCAAGTCCTACGCTCCGTACCCTTCGTACCTTCATTTCTACTCTCATCTCTATACCCGCACGCGAATACCCGAGCTCCAACGGACGTAGCGCCTGATTCCACGCCGGCGATCGTCATGGCGGCCGTTGTCCCACCGTCGGATGGTATCCTCTCTTCTTCTCACTCTGAATTTCGTCTGCTTTTCTTCATTTTCTTCGTTCTGCGTCGTTCCGCGAATTCTGTGATTTAATTTTAATGTTATTGCTGTTGTTCTGTAACGATATGGGTTTTGCTAGGGTTTATGCGTGTGTGTGTTTATAAATATTGCATATGCACTGGTTTCGTGTGGGTGCATTTTGATGATAGAACTGTGAGGTTTATATTGTAATTGAATTGATGTGCTTGAATTTAAATGGTTAATATGTGTCCGAGAAGTGAGTTTGATTTTAGATTGTCATCTTTCTTCATGTTTCATTTAACCGGTGTAACTGTTTCAGAAGCTGCAGAGGAGTTGCTGCAGAATTTGACATTGGATTCTGATAATGAGAAGCCCCTCCAAGCTACGGAGACCACAATGAAGGTAACATTTCTTCCTTTGTTTGTCAATATACCTTTAGCTGCTCAGTTTGTAAATTCTGATGTGGAGTATTACACTCCATATATATGTGTATCTATATGTAAACTTATAGAGAACTGTCACCAGATACCTTCAAGGCCCCAATTATCCAATTATTGAATGCAAAGAAATCAAATGCATTATATTTTGCATTGGTCGCTAGATGATATGTTCATATTCCCAATTTCTTAATGCTAGACAAAAATTACTGTTATGATTTTCCCTTGTATTTAAAATTTTTGAATTTAGACTTATGTATTATGCTCCCCCTCATTAATAAAAGCCTTCAGCTGCCCGGTTTGCACCTGCTGAATCTGGTGCTTTAGCAAATGGTATTAACAAGCCCTTTGAGGGATCTACAACACATTCCCAACAGGATTTCATGGGTCCTAGCATGTTCTATAACCCTAATGGATATCCATCCTCAACATATTACTACAGAGGTAATTATAGTTTTTGTTCTTTAATGCCATATTAAATATTGTTAAATTAAATAGTAAAATTTTTAGTTTGATTATATTTCACTGAAAGAAGTTAAGATGTGAAGTATTACATTTCCTCCATTTCTGAACATCTTTTATAAAAAGGATAGGCCAGGGGCATTAAATCTACAAAGTGATTTGAGGCATGAAGGTTGAAAGTTTGGCCCTTCATCATTTGCAAGAAATTATGCAATATCTGATAAATAACTAGAGATTATCTTTAATTAGATTTTCTCTCTCCTTTGGTTTACTTGCAGGTTATGATGGTTCCTCAACCAATGAATGGGATAGATTTTTAAATCCTGACAGAGTTGAACTGCCTCCAGTAAGGTTTTTGTTACTGATTTCCTGTTATTATTTCCTTGCTCGCTATTAAAATTTGCTTTTTATGTTGTTTTCTGGATTTCTACTTCATGTTTGATTCAAGAAAACTGTGCAAAGCTGGATAGGGAGTATGATTAAATGAGATTAACTAAGAGGCTCCAATCTGCTTGAGGCTGCCTAATTTGTCTTTAACCTAAAAGACATGCTTGAAATTTGTTGTTTAATGAAGACTGCTTCTGATATGCTACTAGTTACTTGCAGAGCATGTATGGTGACTATCATCATGGGTATGGTTATGCTCCATATGGAACATATTCTCCATCAGGCTCACACGTTGAGCATGATAACCAGATGTATGGTGCTCAGCAATACCAATATCCAACTACTTATTTTCAATCGTCTACTACTAGTGGAACTTTCTCAACAAACAAGCCTTATGCTCCCCAGTCTGAAGTCCCAACTCCAATTGCACCTGACAAAGTGCAATTGATTGGGGACACCACCAAAGTAAATCAAAGTCATGTTGGTGCTGGGGCGCCTGATCGAACCACCATTTCGAAGCCTGTAAGACCAATTTATGAGGACTCCTCTCTGAAATCCCTTGACTCCTATGGATGGGGAAGCATCCCATCAGGTATCTCTTTGCTTTTGGTTGTAAGGACCAAGAGTTAGTTAGTGCTTATATTACTATGTTTGATTTCTGAATGAATGTTTTTGCAGCAAATCAATGGATCTCTTCACCAGTTTCACATAATAGCAACTTCCCTTCTGGAACAAACCAAAGTTTGCAGCCTCTTCCACATCTCATGGTATGCATCATCAAATTTGTGGATAGGCAGTTCACTTCATACCAACTAATTCTAGTTGATAGGATCAGGACAATGGGGTTTGGATGTTCTGAAACAGAAGAAAATATTCTTGTATCTTGCTATTTCCTCTGTTTAGTTATTCATCATGCAATTCCAATATTCTCTAATTGTTTCATCTGTGTTGTAATCCACGAGTAGCAATTATATATTTTCATTAACCGTTACATTATGATGTATAGCTGAATAATGCTAAGTCTGTCTCTTGCTATTTCTATTAACAGTTGTGCTAGGTGTTACAATAGTGTGGTTGGGCTTGGAATTGCTGCAATATTGTTCTTGCTGTGGGTTGTTATTTAGTAGGTATTGCATGGTTGAGTTAGAGAGGACTTGTAAAGCTGGAATTTCAAAAGAAATAAAATGTGATTGCAATTGGCATTTGATTCCATTATGTTAAATTTGCTGATCTGGAATGAAAGAAATTGTTAAAATTTTGTTAGGCTGTTGACAAGTTGATCAACATTAATTCATTAACGGTCTTTTTGTTTACACCCATTTGATTTGGGTTAGTGGAAATCCACCTTATAGTGATTTACTTTGGTTTGTTTCTTAGGTAGGTAGGTATGCTAAAGTCTAAAGCTTATATAGTTTGTTTTGCTTGGTGACTTGATAAATCTCTCTTTACTTGTGAGAAATAAAAATAAAAAAGTCAATTGCCAATTATAATCATTATTCTGGTCATTTTCACTTGATTGCATCTCATCTGTTTAACAGAAACTCTATATTCTCACGAAGTCCTCTCTGTATTTTCATTTTACTGTTCTTTTTAATATTCTTAGGCTGGATTATAGTTTATCATTTACTGTGCAACTAAAAGTTGCAAACAGCGTGCTCACATTTCATTTTTCTTTGTGTTCTTTTTAGGAGGTGGATAATTAATTTTAGTTTAATCTTTTAGAATCAGAGTTCATATCATCATATCACTCGTATGTTATTGTGGATCAATTACTTGGAAGCATTTTAAAAAGTGGTTTTGTTTGTCAATTTACAGGGCTTGCAACATCCGAGGGCATCATCTGGACTTGGTGGATATGTGAATCAGATGTATCCAAGTAACAGGATGTATGGCCATTATGGGAACACATTTAGAAGTGGGGTAGGTTTGGGACCAAATAGCTATTTGAGTGCAGGTTCACATGATTGGCCGTCTGCTGATAACAAGTCTAGATCCTGGGGTCGTGGGAATGGCTTATTTACCAATTACAACGAAAGTGTGTATGGCTTAAATGAATTAAACAGAGGACCGCGATTGAAAGGCTTTAAGGACCTGAAGGATTCTGAATCTATCACATTAGCAGTTAAGGGGCAGAGTCTTCCTCTGAGGGTTAATAGCAATGATGATAATTTACCACTTTTCCCGGATAGGGAACAGTACAACAAAGATGATTTTCCTGAGACTTACACAGATGCTAAATTCTTTGTCATTAAATCTTACAATGAGGATGATGTCCATAAAAGCATAAAATATGGTGTGTGGTCCAGCACCCCCAACGGTAACAAGAAACTAGATGAAGCATATAAAGAAGCCCAGGATAAGTCTGGGGGATGTCCTGTCTTTTTGCTTTTCTCTGTAAGCTAAGAACTTGTCATGTTATTCTAATATTGGAAATGGTTTTTGGTTCAGTGTGAATGTCTTAGTTGTAACGTGCTCTTTTTCCCTGGTTTCCAGGTTAATGCAAGTGGACAGTTTGTTGGCCTTGCCGAGATGGTTGGTCGTGTCGATTATGACAAAACTGTTGAATATTGGCAACAAGACAAGTGGAATGGGTGCTTCCCTACCAAGTGGCATATTATAAAAGATGTACCTAATAGCATGCTGAGGCACATCACTCTAGAGAATAATGAGAATAAGCCCGTAACCAACAGCAGAGATACTCAGGAGGTTTGTCACGTACGCGGCACTTAATTTAAATATTTTTTAGCTATGAATTTATGGCTAAACGGTAGTGTTGGTATTCTGGTATTGCAGGTCAGCTTTGAGCATGGTATTGACGTATTGAAAATACTGAAAGGACATTCCAGTAAGACGAGCATTTTAGATGATTTCGAGTTTTATGAAGGACGCCAGAAGATAATGCAAGAGAGAAAGGCTAAGCAGCGCCTATTGGAAAAACAGGTGAGAGTTTTTACTCCGTTATTATCATTTCAGATGTATATGCAGTAATTAGAATGGCATAGTGTGGTTTCCACATCTCTCTTTTTATGTGATGTAATGTGCTGGAAATGGTTCTGTTGTAGCTGATGCTTATCACAATCCTCTAATTCCTGCAGGCCGGAAATGCAAAACCATTTATCGTTTTATCTTCACAGGAAACAGACAAAACTGAGACGACAGATAAAAACATCTCCGCTAAACCAGCAGATTCTGATGGTTCAGCCGCACCTGAGACCGCCAAGGCTGATGTAGGAGTGATTCCTCATGGCGAAAAAGTGACATTTGCAGCGGTGCTCTCCGGTGGGGTTGGAAATGCTTGTTAAGTTCTTTTGCAACAAGTGGGGCAATTTATGGGAGTTGCAGAGTTGGTCTAGTGTGTTCAAAATACACAATAAAGTTTGATTTGTTAGATGACATGGTTGATGTGGCTTTCTTTTTTCTCTTTTTCTCCCCAAGAACAATAATATAAATAGAATAGAATGCACTGTTCTCAAAATAGGCAGCATGATGTTGACTTGGACTGCTAAGAATTTTGAAGTTTTAGCTTCTTGTTTTGCATTTTTTAATTTTATTTTTATCACTTTTGATCAATCCAACTAATAATTCATTCAACCCATATAGAAATATTAGCATATGATAATAATTGAGAGATACTCCGTATTTATCTATTCAAATTCTAAACAAAATTTTTGATTAAAAAAGTGTATTAAGTATTTGTGTTTTCACATATGCTTTTCCCTTTTTTCCTTATAGGGTTGATGTTTTTGGATAATGTGGAGAGGAAATAGAGGGATTGAGGAAAAAAGTGATGTTTTTGCGTTGTATTAAGTGAGAATGTGTGTACATATTTAAATGGACATTTATATATCCTTAAATGTTACGGAGTAATATTTTAATGAGTTTTAATTCTTTAGATTACGAGAAAGGTTATAATTGGATGAGTTTATCTTACGAACCAAATGAGGTACATTAACTAATTAGTTCAAATTGAGAAATTTAATATCTAATTAATTATAAGAGCCTGAGTAAAAAAGTTAAAAAATAGGAAATATCGGCGTAAATTATTTTGTAGACCCGAATCCACCTTGTAATGTTGAATGACGTCTAAATGTTTCACAATTTGTATATTACGAAAACACAATGTTAACATATATGCAATTGATTACTTTGTTTTACATTCTTCCTTTCAAATATTGTAATCACACTGTATTGTATTAAAAAAATTCTATTCTACAACTGTTATGTGTTTTGACTTAAAAAACAATTAACATTTTAGAAATTCACAATTACAATACTAAAAATATACAATTTATACGTCGTTTAGGATCATGGTCCACCTTGCAAGGTGGACCTGGTCTATGGTATAGCAATGTGAATACGGGAACCGGGCCAAAATCTCAAGCCCGGGCGCTGGGCGGGTACAGTTTAAAAGATCCGCGGGGCACGAACGTAGAAATGTGGAAGATACTAGAGACGCTCTAGGGCATATTTTCTTCCACTTTACTGTGTCCTTCACTCTCTCGCTTCTTCAAACAAGATCGCACAACATCCACAGCCACTAGAGATCGGAGTGCAAATCTGAGCACACAACTAAGCTTCCGAGCACGAAAATGGTGGGATTCCAAATGCAGCCGTACGGGATGCAGTCGATGCTGAAAGAAGGGCACAAGCATCTGTCGGGACTGGACGAGGCGGTGCTTAAGAACATTGACGCCTGCAAACAGCTCTCTGCTATCACTCGAACTTCTCTCGGCCCCAACGGTACCTTCTTTCTCCCCAACTTCGTTTACTTCTCGTTTTCCAACCTAGTTTCTCTTCGGAAACTGCTTGCTTTTTAATAGTGTTTCGTTTCAAAGTGATATGGAGTTGTTTAGTGTTTCCAAGCTGCAACAGACGGCCTATTTTCATAAATGTGCATGTTAGGGTGACACAAATAGAGAAATGAGTACAGGAAGTACAGTGTCGCACTTTCAAACACATGGTGTGCAGAAACTTAGAGCTTGAGAGAGAGAGAGAGCTGCGGCCGGGAGGGGGGAGGAGCTCGGTGTTAGATCTCATACTTCTTCCTGTCTAATCTATTTTATACGCGTAGTTGAGCAACTACGCAAGTGTCCTCGAAAGAAATTATTATTTTCTCCTTTCAAATAGGGGTTTAATTTGCTATTGAACAATCATGCGTGTAGGAATAACAGACTATATGTTCTTTACCCAGTTGGTTTTACTTTTGTTCAGGTATGAATAAGATGGTTATCAATCATCTTGACAAGCTTTTTGTCACCAATGATGCTGCCACAATTGTGAATGAACTTGAGATCCAGCATCCTGCTGCCAAACTTTTGGTATTGGCAGGAAAGGCGCAACAAGAAGAGATTGGCGACGGGGCCAATCTGACTGTTTCTTTTGCTGGAGAGCTGCTTCAGAATGCCGAGGAACTCATTAGGATGGGTTTACACCCTAGTGAGATCATTATTGGATACAATAAGGCAATTAATGAGGTCTGTGTAGTCTACAATATAAGGCTAATAATAAGTTTTTTATGTACTAATCGTTCTATTTGAATTAATATTTTTACTAAACTTATCTTTACAGACAGTTAGAATATTAGATGAATTAGTTGAAGGAGGTTCAGAAAATATGGATGTGAGAAACAAGGAAGAAGTTGTTTCCCGAATGAAAGCTGCAGTTGCTAGCAAACAATTTGGTCAAGAGGATATCTTGTGTCCTCTTATTGCTGAGGTAAATATCATGAGTGCTTGTTTTCTCTAGTTCAACATGTTGTCCTAATTTCCGTTGTATCAGCTGTTTTGTTGTTTTTTTTTTTAAATTCTGTTTTGATGAATTTTTCTGTAGGCATGTATACAAGTATGCCCTAAGAACCCAGCTAATTTCAATGTGGATAATGTTCGAGTTGCCAAGCTCTTGGGTGGAGGTCTACACAATTCAACCATAGTTAGAGGCATGGTATTGAAAAATGATGCTATTGGCAGCATAAAGAGGATGGAAAAGGCAAAGGTGAGTAGTTTTATTTCTTTCTTTTAATTTGTTCATATGATATCATGATTTCTCAAGGAAAATTATTATTCCATATTAGTATTAGTATTACCACTACTCATAATATTGCTATTTATGCTTAAAAAGGGTTTTCCTAAGTTCCTACTTTTTATAACTTTTCGTTATTCTTTTGTTTCATTTGGTAGATAGAGGTATTTTCGGTTGCAAACTCTGTCCAGTACAAGGAATAATACTTTTTAGTAAACTGGAAAGATTTGATATTACCTTAGTGTTAGTCCTCTCTCTGTGCATATAAGTTGCCATTGCTGATGCTTTCTAGGGCTTCAAGTCTTCAACCATAAGTTATATTTTGGATATTTCTCTAGTTTGGTTAATATTATACATTATGTAAAGTAATGCATCTTACAAGCTCACATTTTACTTTATGCCCTTTTGGTTATAATCAGTGGAAAAGGAGTTTTTTTTTTTTTTCCTCTTGTGTTTTGCTTTGTACTTGGTAAAAAATTGTCATGATGAAACTATTAAAAAACTCTGCATGTTCTTTTAAGTGTTGTGGTTTGATTTTGATCCATGTTCGAGAGTTGATTATATACTGTTGTAGGTTGCCGTATTTGCCGGGGGAGTTGATACAACTGCAACTGATACAAAAGGCACAGTTCTTATTCATAGTGCTGACCAGGTATTTCATTGAGCCATGTTACTTTGATTTATTTTTTTTTTAGTTTTTGTTTTTGTAGAACTTCATTTTTAAAAATTTATTTTTTACTTTTTTTCTTTTCTTAGTTTTCTAATAAGAGTAGTAGGTATGCTATACATCACTTCCTTGCATCACACTAACTTTTTGCTTGTGTCTGGCCATTGAATTTGTTGAGAGGCTTTTGTATGTTATGGAACAAGATACAATACTTCTATTTAATTTCCCTTAATCTTTTTGAGTTTATGATCATATCAGAATGTTTTATATATACGTACTGGTAGAACTTATATGCAGACAAAGCCATTCAATGTTAAGTGATGCATCTTGAAGTGGTACAAACTTAGAAGTAGGGTTTCTTAGAATATTAAGGGTGAGGTACAAGGGTTGGATGGATGATCTCCAGAGTCTATAGATTCACATTTCATTATCTGGAATAATCTATTGTGCACTAGGTTCTCTAATATTCTGCATCTGCAGCTTGAAAATTATGCAAAAACTGAGGAAGCTAAGGTTGAGGAACTCATTAAAGCAGTGGCAGATTCAGGTGCTAAGGTCATTGTTAGTGGAGGTGCAGTTGGAGAGATGGCGCTGCATTTCTGTGAACGTTACAAGTACAATCTCCACCGTTTATGTTTAATATTTATGTGTTGATTTTGTGTGTGTGTCTGTAAATCTGGTGGATTGGGATTGAACTTGAGACCCCTTATAGCCTATGCCATTGGACTCTTTGGCATATTTATGTGGTGATGTTTTCTTTATTTTTACTGTGCATTCAAAAGCTGGATGCTATTGTATTGTCTTATTGTTCCAATTCTGTATGCATTTTCCCTGGGCTTCAAATATTCTCCTTGAGAGGGCTTGAGTATTTGTATGAGGTGTAGGTCCTTTGGGGTTTTGATGAAGGAGCAACCAGAGATTCAAAGTCAATCCCACAGTAAATGTTTATGAGAATGCTACCGCCTACCTGTCCCCTTTATAAGTCTTGTTAGTGGTCCTTGGCCTTCTAATTTATAATGTTATTAATTCTGTTGCAGGCTCATGGTATTAAAAATAAGCTCCAAATTTGAACTGCGACGTTTTTGCAGAACCACTGGTGCTGTTGCTATGGTAAGCATGTCATTACAGCTTGATTTAATTGTCTCACACACACTTACAAGTTACATAATTTGCATTGCTTCTAATTGTCTTCTTTAATTGTGAGACCAGTTGAAGCTCAGCCAACCAAATCCAGATGACCTTGGATATGTTGATTCCGTCTCAGTTGAAGAAATTGGTGGCATTAGGGTACATGCTTGAATTTATTCTTTACATTTTGTTCCATGTAAGTAGTTTAAGCTATTAAATAAATTATGTTTTACCTTCTAGGTTACAATTGTAAGAAATGAGGAAGGTGGAAATTCTGTGTCCACTGTCGTTCTACGAGGCAGCACTGATAGTATATTGGATGACCTTGAAAGAGCAGTTGACGATGGTGTAAATACCTATAAGGTATATGTTGCATGCATATAGATTAGTGTTCTTGAATCCTCTGTTTATAAGATCTTTCAACTGATTATGCTTAGCTTCATGTTAGAATCTAACTTTAGTGGGTCTTCATTCTACCAGGCAATGTGTAGGGACAGCAGGAGAGTACCTGGAGCTGCAGCTACTGAAATTGAGTTGGCCAGGAGACTGAAGGACTTTTCTCTCAAAGAGACTGGGTAATAATTTCTGTTGCATTGATGTATATATGAATACTCCTTTAATTGATTTAGTGTGATTCATGCTAATGCCATCGGTGACAGATACGAGTATTTAACAATTGTTTGCTTTTGTGAACCTTTCAAATACTAAACCTTGGGGTTCTGGTCAATTATGATTGTGCAAAGTATGATGTCAGTTGTCATTTCTTCTAGACTTTCAATGGTTTTCTACTCTGTTCTACATGTGTTGATGCCTTGTGTATTTCTTAGCTGTTCATGTTCAACCTCTCCATTATGATCTGAGTATGGTAGAAGTTGATTGAGGCACTGAGGGAAAGTCCTATAATAAGTTTATTTGTTTCTATGTAGTCTGGACCAGTATGCAATTGCTAAGTTTGCCGAAAGTTTTGAAATGGTTCCTAAAATTCTAGCTGATAATGCTGGCCTTAATGCTATGGAAATAATATCTTCTTTATATGCCGAGCATGCATCTGGAAACACCAAAGTAGGCATCAACTTGGAGGAAGGAGCATGCAAGGATGCTTCTACCATGGATATATGGGACCTCTACATCACCAAGTAAGCTTCTTCTCAAAGAATTAGGTGCAACAGGAAGAAACAATTTAACGTTCCATAAAAACACTGATGGTTAAACATATTCTGTGCGATTGTCAATTGTAGTGTGGTTGTAATACTATATATAAACCTGTTAGTAACTTAGTGGTGGTTAAGGTGGTAATACTATATTTAAGCTAGTTATTAGTTATTGGTAGTTAAGTACGACTTTTCCTGTCATGTTTGTATCGTCAATTAGTTGGGCTGACTGCTTACTTGTGCTTGCCTTTTGCTTTACTTTAATAGGCTCTTTGCTCTCAAATATGCTGCCGATGCTGCCTGCACCGTGCTACGAGTGGACCAGGTAACCAGCCTGCTTATTAATCTCATTTCTCTTCAATACAAGTAGCTCTACTCAGAAAGTGTGGACAACATTATTGGATTTCATCGAGAAAAGCATAACTCTTTTCAATATACATCTATTGCTAATCTGCTGCTTTGCCGTTCTCCTTTCTAAACTTCCCCAAACAATAAAGTAGAATAATATACTTCCAAAATTGAAGAACATTATTCTAGGGAAACAATGCTGCCTTATGGTACAGTGTGTATAACTGTATACTTCTCAAGGCATGAGACCTTTAACTATCTCAGGGCTCTAACCATCTGACCAAAAAAGCCTGTGTGCCGTTTAGCTTTACCAAGTAGTAGTAGTTTGTGTAATCATCTTAGCGAGTTTGTGAATTTGATTGCGGTGCAGATTATAATGGCAAAACCAGCTGGTGGTCCAAGGAGAGATCCAGGTGCAGCAGGAGCAATGGACGAGGATTGAGTTTTGGGAGTTGATTTACTATTTTGTATCTTGGTTGTGCCTCCGCCGCTCTGCCATCTAGGGTTTTTTTTTTTTTTTTTTTTTTTTTTGGGTTTTAACCTACTTTAGCCTGTCTTTTCTTCGTACATTCACACCAAGTATTGGCTTTAGAAAATTTTGAACATCAATTATTGGGTTGCTGTTGATGATCTAAGTTTTGTCACCTTGCTTTGTGATGTTGAATTGTGAACTTATTGAATGCAACCTTAAATGGATTTTTATTCTCTTAAAAAATTATATTCGACAGTTAAAAAAGAGATTTTTACCTCCAAGCTATAGAGATATAGCTTATTTCCCCTCAATTGTAGGTGCATATGTTTTCTACTTTTCTTCCCCCAATATTTTTGTCCGAATTTATTAGAGAATTAGTTATAGTGGAAGTGGTCACGTGGATCTGCACGTGAGGCTAAGGCTAACTGGCTAAGGTGTTATAGTAAGTAAGCCAAGAGCTGGTTTGAGAGATCTCTTGGTTGAAGATGGCTTCTATTCTATCCTTCTCTGTTCTCAAACCAACCATTACTAAGGCCTCTGCTTCTGTTTCTTCTTCTTCTCCGACCTCAACCATAACAACGCCGTCAGTTCCTGAAACTCTCCAAGAAAAATTCGGCCGGAAAGGCATCAAATTTTCCGACGCCGGCGACGTTGAGCTGACAGTCAGAAATGGAAGCTCACTCAAGCTGCAGATTCCGACTGCACACGTCACCTCTTACCGGCCAAAAGTCTACTGGAAAGACGACGGCTTCGAGGAAATTGTATACACGCTGCCTCCCGCCGGACCGTCGTCTTCCTCCAAAGGCGGCATTGGTTTGATCGTGGAGGAGGTTCCGGAACCCAGTCCCGCCTCCAAGGTAAGGTCTCTATCAATGGCGGCATCATCCCTGGCCCCACCTGCGCCCAAGAGTACTCCGTGGACTGTCACTGATGCCGATTCAGACTCCATTGATGCCGTTCAGGTACTGCATAACTTTGTTGAAGAATGATAGGTGTTATGAATAATTGTTATTAATTTATGTTCTGTTAATCTCAACTATTTGCAGGTTGAACTGAGCTGCACTAGGGGGGCTCTTGACCTAACCTATGTAGTCTCCCTGTATCCGGTCACCATGGCCACCGCCGTGATAGTGAAGAACACCGGCCAAAAACCGGTTACCTTAAAGACGGCAATACTCAGCCATTTCAGGTTCAAGAGCAGAGGCGGAACAGGAATCCAAGGGTTAATAGGCGCCTCTTACTGCTCACACCCTCCTCTCTCTTCCCCCTTCGAAATCCTTTCCCCTTCGGAAGCCATGAAAGCTGAGGATCCTGGTTTCTTCTCCTTTGGATGGGAGCCGGAAAAGAAATCCGGCGTCTGGGCGGTTCAGGATGTTCCCATCACCGTGCTCCGCCACAAGATGAGCAGAATCTACGCCGTCCCTCCCGCTGAAAGATCAAAGGGATTCTACAACACCCTTCCTTCCAAATACGAAACCCTAGATCAGGTACCACATTCACATTCATCCTCCCATCCACTTTCAATCTCATTATCAATTATATAAAATTTACTGAATTCTGTATTGAATTGTTTACAGACAAGTATGTTGGGGAAAGTGGATTTATGATGATTAAATCTGATGTGGTATTGATTTACAGGGTCGTGAGCTGTTCTTCAGGGTGATAAGGATGGGGTTTGATGATGTATATGTATCAAGTCCAGGATCGATTTCCCAGAAGCATGGGAGTGATTACTTCATTTGCACAGGCCCTGCTTCAGTGCTGCTTCCCGTGGTTTTGAAGCCTGGTGAAGAGTGGAGAGGAGCACAGATTATTGAGCATGATAATCTATGATCATATACTCTTCAATTCTCTCATCTCTTTGGTTTTATACAAGAAAAAATTTCAACCATTTATATGAGAAGTCTCTAACGATATCCATGTAACAAATCGTGCCTATTGATTGCTCCATACCACCTTATGCGAATCAGGCGCTCCCCAACGACTCTATTACATTATCATCTATAGTTTTTCAATCTGTTGAAGTACAAGGAGCCTCCACAGAGCCTCATGACCTCTTATATAGGAGAGTCACTGCATGTCATCTGAGCACAATGTGTTTGGCATCAACATAACTTTTTCAATACACTCTGGGACTCCATTCTAAAAGTTTAAGACATAAACTTAAGTTATTTTAAATAATATAAATAGTTTTTATAATATATATCTTATTGGACCACAAGCTAAAGACATAGAGTGATAGAGCACTAATATTTTGCCTAAAGTCCAAAAGAGGAGAGAAAGAAGTCCAAAAGAGGAGAGAAAGAAGTGGCATTGCATAATCCAAATACACTCCACAGTTACAACTTACACTTTTTCAATCTGTTGAAGTACAAGGAGCCTCCACAGAGCCTCATGACCTCTTATATAGGAGAGTCACTGCATGTCATCTGAGCGTGTTTGGCATCAACATAACTTTTTCAATACACTCTGGGACTCCATTCTAAAAGTTTAAGACATAAACTTAAGTTATTTTAAATAATATAAATAGTTTTTATAATATATATCTTATTGGACCACAAGCTAAAGACATAGAGTGATAGAGCACTAATATTTTGCCTAAAGTCCAAAAGAGGAGAGAAAGAAGTGGCATTGCATAATCCAAATACACTCCACAGTTACAACTTACAAGCACAGCCAACCAAAACTTACTATTTTCTTATCCAAATATCTATATTATACCGACATGGGAGGGTGTAAATCATGGTGACTCAACTGAACATTAATCACAGAGACTAGATCGGTGCTCACTGCGCACAAGGAACCCCCTCACTTTGAGAGGTTGCTCCCACACTGCCGCTGGTGAGACTCGATCCCTGGTCATTCTTCCAAAGTTTCACCTCTATGACCAGTTATATTATACGCTAATATTGAGTGTAGTATTGTGTGTTGTTATCTTATTAAAAGATGAATTCAAGGTTGATAAAATTTTTACTTTCCTTATGTTTTAATAAGATTAGTACTATATTAGACAGTGTATCAAGTTTTGCATACAAATTTATTTTGGATATACCAAAAGTTTTAATGAAATAAAAATAAAAAGAAGAAAGAAAACAAACTACTTTAATCTAGGTTGAAAAAAAATTAACAAAATCAGCAAAAGGAGTGATTTTCTCTTTCAAAAAGTGGACTCAAGATAATACTCAAAATGTCACCGTATATAATGGCTTTTTTCAATTTCATCCTGAACGATTTTGGTGGTCTAATGTAATATTAAATTTGTGTGTTTTTTGCTCAATTTAGTCCTTCATTTGTTATTCCATCCATGTTAAATAAAGAAATAATTCAATAATTTCAATATTAACGTCTCTTGAATTGCTCCCAAACTAGCGAATATAAAATTTTATTCTAGTAATTCCTAAAAGAAATAGAAATTTTGCACTTCACAAGACTAAGAGTAAAGAATAATCAATATTGAGATGACTGAATTGTCCCTTTATTTAACATCAATTTGATAGAATAATAAACGGAAAATTAAATTGAACAAAAACACAAAAGTCTAGGATTAAGTCACCAAAATCGTTTATGGCGAAATTGAGAAAAACCACTCAAAACCATTTTGGGTATTAACTCGAATCCAAAGTTGAACTCAAGTATGTTCATGAACATTTGTCATCCAATTCTGTGTATAGGTATATCTAATCGTATATCGTCAACTTTCCCTACCCTCTACTCAAGTACTTAATCCTGCCGGCCGTGGCTTGAACGGCGGAGTCGCAACCGCAGGCCATCAGTATACCGGTGAGCGCAACTCTTCTTTGCTCTTGTTCTTCATAGTCGCTACTGAATTATCCAGGCTTGTTAGCTTTTATGAGGGAATTCAATTACTTGACTTTCTAGCTCTCTGCTTCTAACTTGTGATGCTGAAAATAATTGAAGATGAGGAACTTCTCTGTCTGGTTCAAATTGGATTGCATTGCGCTCAATTACTATTTTTAAGTGTTCGTTTTTGAAATAGGAATCCTTTTAATCTGATTTCGATCTTGAATGTTTACGCGGGAACAAAAATTTATTGCAATACGCTAATTTGGAGTCACTGACTGTGAAAAGTGTTTGTTGTAAATCAATCGAGGAATGAACTAATGGCTGGTACACTGGATGGGTAAGGAAATGGGGATTGAACTCCATTCCCGCCCTACTATAGAGTATAGGATGGGGACGAGTAGGAAATCCAGGTCCCAGGGACCGGTATAGGGTTGGTAGGCTGGGGAATAGTCCCCATCCCTTGCCTTGCCTCGCCTTATTGCGGGTATTTTCAAAGTGCTAGTTATATTTGTTGGATAGACCAAAATTCTACTTAAATGTATATAACTCATTCTGAGATCTCATGAGTTGAGGGTTCATCAGATAATTTTGTAGATCCTCTAAAGAGTTTTGATGTGTGTATGCGGAGGAGAGGCAGATAGGTGAAGCCAGCTATGGCCTTGTTGAGTCGGAGTTTGGGCTTTCTGGGTGCTTTACCATCCCGTAATCATACGAGTTCATTTCACACAGAATCAAGGGGCCCTAACAATATTGCCTTTAAGGTAGCATATCCTTTTACTAGACAAGGAACTGGAGGCTGTTCCACTTTGCATTCCTTCAAATTGGCATCCCTTGGCAATGGAGTTGATGGAATCACAGATATTATCCACAACAAGGTAAGTTGTTATTGTTATTGGTTTTATTTTTATTTAAAAAAAAAAAAAAAAAATCTCCAGTCAATAATTTGCTTTTCCATCATCTTGTGCTTCATTAGCTTTTTTCGTTTCAAAATTCATTCTTGAAAGATTTGGGATAGAGTAATCAAGGTGGACTTTTGTCCTTTGGTATCTAAACTCTCTTCTGAATTAACATATGTGGTTAATATTCTCAGTGTTTTACCACCATTTGATAAGTAGAGACTATTTTCCCTAGTATTCTTGCCTGTTTATTTATGTAGTAAATTAGCAATTCAAATTGCTTTGAACATGCTGGGAAAAAAGGGTAATTTTCCTAATTTCTATGGTTTGGTAGTTGATGAATTCGTAATCAACACAAACTAGCATACGCTAATATTCAAGTGAAACACCTAAAAATTTCCATCAAACATGAATGCAGTTGTCCATGGATCAAATAAATAAGAGAGACATCGAAAAGGAAGCATGTAAATGGAACTGTAATTGAAAAGAAAGAAAAAAAAAAAAAAAAAAATCTTTTGGGGTTGACTGGACATTATACCTGCCAATCTCCAAAGGCTATCTGTACAGATTTTTTAATGTTATTTCTCTTGTTTTCTGTACATATTTCATTTAACTTGTTATGAGCACTATTCAGGTTTTGATAGCTGCTGCTCTTTCTGCGGCAATTGGACAACTTTCCAAACCTTTTACATCAGCTGTATTTTATGGCAATGATTTTGATATTAGGACAGCCTTTCAGGCTGGAGGATTCCCTTCCACACACTCTTCTGTAAGATATCTTTGCTTTTCTTCCCTTCCTCACCCTTCGGGTGACCTAGCTCCTCTTCCCTACTTCCCAAAGTATGCTGAAACATTCTTTAGGGGGGAATAACACTATTGGATTTAGTATACTATCAGCAGTGGTGTTTTTCTTTTTATTTAGATTCATTTCCCTACTTCCCAAAGTATGCTGAAACATTCTTTAGGGGGGAATAACACTATTGGATTTAGTATACTATCAGCAGTGGTGTTTTTCTTTTTATTTAGATTCATTATTTTTTTTTAATTTATAGTTTTACCTTACTAAGTTTGAGCTATTTGCAAATGATAGACCGTTGTTGCCACAGCCACCTCCATTGGCCTTGAAAGGTACATTGTTAATGAACATTTCTTTGGAAGAGGGATATGATTAGTAAGACATTTTCGCATTGCTTTTGGTCATTCTTCTTGCCTAACTGCGTACATCTATTTTGTGATTGGAGCATGATGTGAATGCAGGGGTTTCTCTGACGCAGTATTCGGGTTAGCAGTCATTTATGCTGGCCTTGTCATGTATGATGCACAGGTTTGTAATGACAAGTTTTCTCTTTCTTTCTTTTTTTTTTTTTGGATGCTACTAGCCCTATTACATTGTAGTATCTGTTCATATACTTTCTCAACCTACTGAAACACAAAGAGCTAATAACGCCTCCACTGAGGCTTGAACTCACAACCTTCCTAATGGAAGTCCAACCCGGGTACCATTGGACCACATAGTCCTGGTTCTCTCTCTTTCTTTAGTCTTTTATGTTCAAGTTAAAGATAGTCAGAATCATTACTGCACGTTATTTTAAAATTAATATTAGTCTTTTAAAAACTACTCCGTAATTTTTAGATTCTGTTAATCCAAATGATCCATTCTGTCTGACATTGAACATTTCGCTTTTGTAGGGTGTTCGGAGGGAAGTTGGCATCCATGCAAAAGTGTTGAATCAGCTTTTATCTGAGACATGTTTAAATACAAGCTCCTCAAACAATGGTGCTGCTGTTTCGACTGACAATTCACAAGAAAAATCACTGTCAAATGTACAGATTCTTGAACCCTCCATGTCCGAAGAAGAATTGAATTCTTTCGAACCAGAATTGAAGAAGAATGCAGCTCTGTTTCTTAAACCCAATAACCAGAAAACCCCGATGTCAATCTCGCAGAACATGACCTCTGATGCAGAAGACAGATCAAAACAGTTAAGGTATACTCAGCTGAAAGAATCTATAGGCCACACAGAGATCCAAGTCGTCGCTGGTGCTTTGCTGGGATTCTTAGTTAGTTTAGCTGTTTGTATGGTATGACCAATACTTCCCCTTCAGTTCTTAGTGTCAATGTACTTCAAATTCAATACTAATGTACAACCAACAATGGATCCCAACATTTTACCAAATTGATGTAGAACAAGACTGGAAAGAAGGCTAAAGATGGAGAATAGCAATTGAGACAAGCAAATATTTGGTCTTGTGTTGTTATTTGCAGATTAATACTATAGGGAATGGTTTGGCTAAAATTCATATAATTTCACTTTATTCCTTTTCATTCTTTCATGGAAGTTGGTACCTAATTGAAGAGCATACCAGCAATTTGGCATTTTAAACCTTCCAGATCTGACCGAAAAGATAGAAATATGAAGAAACAACAGATCATGATAATCATACATTTCTCAATGAACATAACAATTGCCAGGTTCTAACCAAGTATACATCAGATTCTACCTCTAATTATGTAGAAATCTTGAAACAGAAAGAAAGATACACACTTCATTTAACTACTACTACAGTACTACTACCTATTAGTAGTTAAATTCTAAGCCTTGCAGATACCACATCATACTTAGGTAGGAACAAGGTTGTATCCTTGGCCTTGACTGTCATTCCACAAGAACATGAAAACCGCCAGCACAACAATTAAGAGACAGCAAATCGTTCTGCACATAAATTTCTGGGGGTGTTTAAGACAGAAACCTCTAGACTTTACTGTCTCCCGGGTGTTGTTTCTGATGCCTTCAAGTTCAGTATCAGCAGACACGCCTTCTGCAGAAGATACCGACTCTGAGGTTTGATGATTAAGTTGCTCGCTTTCATCAGAAAACTTCTCGTCCCCGTTGTTCATGGTCTTGCCATTGAGTAGGCTGCTTTCTCTGTACCTCGCTGGACTCCAATCGAATTCACATGCAGAAAGGCTCCTGTATCTTCGGGTTTTCTTTTCAGAGAAATCTGGGCTGTTGTTGTGTACATCCTGGAGTGAATGGATGAGTTTTCTTGGAGTTGAGAAGATGGCTACATTGTCAGGGGTAACATGAGAGCGAGACCTCTGAAACATTAAAAAAGAGAAGCAGATAGTGAATGTCACTACCAAAAACATCAAAATAGAAATCATGTTCATATAAAGACTGTACTTTGCCTGTCTGCTTGTGAAAAAGAAACTTCCAAAAGATATAAGTTTTGTCAAAAACTTAGAATGTTAGAATGGTACCTGAGGACTTGGAGTTGCACTCCTTACAAACCCATTTCGCCCGCTTCCTGGGAAAAACCCTGCAAATCTGTCTCTATAATCTTCACCGTTATTAGTAAACTCATCATGCACAGAGTTCTGGATGCCACTTCTACTTGTAACTTCAGAAAAGATGCCGTCTTTAAGAGACACATCTAAACCATTTTCATGCCTTTTCCAAAGTTTCCTGTTCACACTCCTTCGACCATCACTCAGATACCGAGAGGTTTGATTGGTTGAAAGTGGTGAGTCAAGGAAGGAATTAAACCCTTGAAATGAATCAACGGTTTGAGATTCGGGTGATGCAGTTAAAGGTGAATCAAACATATTTCTCCTGGTATACCCTCTACTGTCGAAATTGGAGCCAGTGACTGAATCCACATCATTCTCGAGTTTTATGCCTTTCTCAGAGCAAATTCTTTTAGCCATTTGCAGTGCCTCAAATGCAGCCCCTCTAACATAAGGCATCTTGTCAGACTGGCATATTTCCATCTCCTCGATCACTATTTTCATCTCAGACAATATGCTTCTGGGATCCAGATACCTCATCAGGGAATTAACCATATGAACAGCAGACAAACGTTTCTGAGAATTTCCTTCTCCGTTTACACATCCCAAAATGCTCAATCCAGATTGTATCAACAATCTTGCATAAGCTTCAACAATCAAGCTATTGTGTTTAGCCAAGGAAGTGACCAAGGCCATGTGGTTATTGGTCTGTGAATGCTTCTCCAAGGCCCCAGTAACACACTGACAGACCTCATTCACCATCTCATTTGAAGCAACCCGCCAATTATCAGAGTCTACAAGAGCCTTCAGGCATAGGGCAGCCCCAGAAGATAGGCTCTCCTGACTACCCAAAAGGCAATCTGAAAGTGGCTTAGCAAGGGAGTGAATGATGAACCTCTTCTTCTCCTCTGGCGTTGTAGGATCCATCCCGTACCTTGCAATAGCTGGAACAACTTTTGAGCAAGCTTGGTGAAGAGGAAAGGAGCCTGCACTAGATGTCAAGGTCTTGATGATGGTGGACATTATGTTATCTATCTGAGGTACAATTTTCGGTCCATGGACCCGAGCAAGAACCTCATAGAGTGATATAGTATATTCACCAGATGATGCACCAGCCTCCTTGGTCTCAGAAACCTGAGCAAGAAAAAGAGGAATTGCCTTGGAATCCAACTCTTTCACATATGATTTCAATGCTTTCATTGCTGATTTCCTACTATCAGCATCCTTGTCCAGATTCTCCAGCTCCCTCCTAAGTATTGGACTAAGACTCCTTCCCATTGCTCACCTGAAGAAAAAAAAAAAAAAAAAGGTTAAAGCTATTGTATATCACATAATCCAAACATCCCTTAACTCACACCACCCCACATTTTTCATTGTCATTCATGTTAATCCCATTAACTTGGTAACCATAAGATACAAGTTTAATCAATGCAAGACTAGTCTATTGGCCTTTTTTGTTTAAGTCAAACATGAGCAACCTAGGTTAATTTAACTTGTAGTACTTTGAAAGCTATGGTTAACAAGATAGGATTTACAAAATGCATACACCCAGGTAGTGGATGCAATTTCCATTGTCAGTCAAGAATAATGTTTTTCAATGACAACATTCTTTCAAACCCTACATGTCATATGATTTTCACAACAAATACATACAGATTCAAATGTCAATATTTGATAACTAAGTTTTTCAATTTTATCTAGGCAATCAAACTCACTTTAATTCACAGAGACTTGAGGATAAAATCAAGATTAGCACACAGAGTTCACAAGAAAATGCAAGCCCCACCTTAAAACCAGAGACAAGACATCCAGAAACGTTAGATTCATCTCTTGGTTATGCATTCAAGAGAAAAAAAAAAAACTTAAATCTGCAATCTAGAACTAGGGATACGCAACGGGCATTCACGATTTGGCCAAAAAAACACACAGAGACCCACAAAAAAAGCTAATACCTTTTGCAGACAAAATGAACCTCTGGCCTTCCCTGTGCTCTGTTCTTTGAACCCGCCCTCCACTCCTGCTACACCGACCGTTGAAATCCTTGACGAATAACAGAGAAAAAAACTCAAGAATTGCCCCAAACCCAAAAGAAGAAAAACTTATTTCTTCTTTTGGACCCGGATTCTTGAATCTGGGGAAGATGAACGATTTGGGTATATGAGTGTAATGGTATACGTATAGGGAAAAAATTTGTAGGTTTATGAGGTAGAGGTAGCAGTAGGTAGAGAGTGAGGTGAGGTCACTCAGTATGGAAAGAGGGTTTCCGCGATTTGTGTGTGGTGTGTCTGATTGGATTGGGTTACCGTTTTGAAAAAATAAAGAATGAGGGAGGGGAGGGGGGCGACGTTCAAACTTCAAATTCAAATCTTTATCTGAAAACTCCGCCGCTGTCTCTTCCCGCCTGCTTGGTTTTGAGATTTCAACTATAGTCTTCCCACCATTATATACGGAGTATGAAACTACAAAATTACATGAATATTGTAACCCTAAGTTAGGTACGAAATGCTAATTTTAGTCGATCAGAAACTATTTTTACCACCAATTTGTCACTTAATAAAGCGGTTAATTTAATCTTTTAAAAATTAAAATTGTTACTTCATAAATAACTTATGAATTGGATATGGTAAAATTTGAGTATGTATTACGACTTCACGGGTATAATTGGATAACTAAAAAATGCAATTTTCCCTTTTCTATTTGAAATTCAGTATTCATCAAATAAAAAATAAAATTCTTTGAAAAGATAATGGGAACCATTTCATACTTTTTTTTTGAATGCTACTAGCTCTATTACATTGTAGTATCTGTTCATATACTTTCTCAACCTACTGAAACACAAAGAGCCAATAACGCCTCCATTGAGGCTCGAAATCACAACCTTCCACCTAGAAGTCCACCCCGGATACCATTAGACCACATAGTCCTGGTGGAACCATTTCATACAATTATACAAAGAAACATTTTCCATATTTATAAGGTGATATGAACCTAGTTATAGGTTAAAATAAAATAGAGTACTATTTTAAGATAACTCTCATGCAGTGATAGAGATAAATCTAGATACATTAGACCTCGCGTGAAATCTTTAATTCTGAAACCTCAAAGACTTATAAAAAAAATCATGATGTAACTTTAAGTATCTTAATGATGCAATCTTCAATTATGTATAGTGGAATATAGTTTCCTTTAATTCAATAAACATAACTAATGAAGAGTTGTTTTAATTGTTTGAACTTAGACTTTGTGAGTGGGTCACTATAATGATTTTACCTATCAAATGAACTCCTTATTGGACATTATTGTTCATTTCACCAATGATGCTTTAAAGAATGCAGTGATAAACATTGTAAAAAAACTTATACTTTATTTGTGTATTGAATATATATTATTTGATTATATACAAAAAATATATTTTCAGTACTCAAATAATATATTTCATATACACAAATAATGTACTTATTTATGATCAACGCAATAATGATCTTTGATGGTCGAATCTCATCAAATACTTTTTCCAAGAAAAATATCGAAAATTTTTGGACAAAGAAATAATGCAGCCCAAAAGTTTCCAGCAACCAGTCGGGTCAGCCCATGTTCGAAGGAACACGGCAGCCCAGTCCACGTTGAAACTGCCAATAGCCGGTAAGAAGGCGCGTCTGACCGGCTACGGCATACCCTAACCGGTTATCGACTATAAATTGCAAGCTTGGGGTAGAAAAGCTCCAGCCACCGCCTTCGCTATCTCTTCATCTCACCCCTCTGTCTGCCCTCAAATCTCTGTTCCGATCCTTCTCTCCATAAATCCTCTCTCTCTCTCTCTATCATAATCGTTATATATATCCATATATTTTTATATAAAAGCCTTGTATTTCAAATCTTTGGCGCTCAAGAATTGGATTTTTCTGTTTTTTTCTTTCATTGAATCGTATAATAAGCTGAAAACTCCAATTGTGATGTTGTGTTTTCTGTAAAAAAACTCGTGGGTTTTCTAGAACATCTTATATTCTCAATTTTTTCGGAACTTGGTGCGTGTGTCTGGATCTTGAGTTTTGATTTTGATGGTTTGACCCGAAACCCTAATTCAGTCTGAACATAAATTGATCAAGTCGGTTAAGGTTTTCGAACATAGTTTTGGGAAATAATTGAATTGATTTGTTAAGAATTGGGTGATTTGGAGTAAACATAAGGGAGGGAAGAATGGCAGATCAGCAGCCAGGAATGGAGGGGAGCCAGCCGGTGGATCTTTCCAAACACCCGTCTGGAATTGTGCCCACCCTCCAGTAAGTCTCTTATCCTTGTCATCAACGGGTTTCTTGAAGCGCGTTGACTGCATTGTTTGGGAGCTTTGTGAAGATTTTACTGCTGAAGAATGAACAATCTTTACTGATGCGTGAACCAGAACCACACAAATTGAAATTGAATTTTTGGATTATTATTGTTATAAATGGAAATAAAGATGTTGGCTGTCCCCTCATTAAAGACATTTTCTGGTGGCTTAAAATTCCTCTATTTTATCTGGCAAAGAATTTCTGTCATGTCTTAGCATCTGATGCTCTTAGATTTGAAGGCCTACATATTTACTACTAGTGTTTGTTCGGATTTATATGAATTAGAAATATGTTGGGAACTCAATTGCTTAAGGCATAATTAATTAGTTAATTAATTTTTTGTTGTAAGAATCTTACATGAGGTGATAACTGTGTGCTGGAAATAAGTATTACTCCGTATTTGCATTTGATGCTAACTGTGTGCTGCTTCCTGTTTCACTGTTTCAGGAACATTGTATCAACTGTCAATTTGGACTGCAAATTGGATCTTAAATCTATTGCATTGCAAGCTCGTAATGCTGAATACAATCCTAAGGTATTCTATGGATATGTGCTACTTTTATTGTTTCAATATTATACTGTAAACTTCACATCTTGTGTGTGTGGATGGGTGGTTTGTCAGCTGGATGCCTAGATTAAACAGAAGTTGTGTATTCTATCTTTACTGAGTTATGGACTTATTGGTGATATTCTTTTTAATTATGTGATCCTTGTAGCGTTTTGCTGCTGTTATTATGAGGATAAGGGATCCAAAAACTACAGCTTTGATTTTTGCATCTGGGAAAATGGTAAAAATACCTACACATTAGTTTTTTCTATGAAGCTGTATAGTTGTTTCATACTTCAAACTCAAGTATTAAATTTCACTTTTCCTATTCTTTTTTTTGCTGACTATATGTTTTGGAATCAGGTTTGCACTGGAGCAAAGAGCGAAGAACAATCTAGGCTTGCAGCAAGGAAGGTTTGTGAATGACATGAGTTTGTTTTGTGTAATCTAATTTAATTGTTATAATAATAATATAAAAACAAATTGCCCATTATTATTAAAACGTTAGAAAATATTTTGTAATAAGTCAATAATAGTAAATTGAAGGAATCCTACAACTTTTTATATAATTTAGTAGATATAAAGGATAGTCTCAAAAGAATCCTAGAACTTGTTAATTCTATATTTTTTAAACCAGCATAGTGGTTAGTGAGGGGCACTGGCTCCTCTTTTTATTTTATTAATACTAAAACAGAAAATACAAAAAATAAGGGGTGTAAACCTTTCCTCCTTACCTAGGTTGGGTGAATTGCCCACCCATTGCAAAGTACAAGGAAAGCAATAAATAGGGAGTACTCCTCCCTTGTACATCTTCCCATCTATGGAATCTAAAGTCAAGGACTCCTTTACAAAGGCCCTATCTGAAGTCTAAACCCTATCTAAACCAAAAAGACGGTTCTCTAGAAGCATCCAATGTCAGATGTGTTTGGTACTTTGGTTAGGAGCTGGGATGCTATTGGTAGTTAGGGGGTGGGGAAGAACACAGGAGGCAAGTGAGCTGCTTGTAGCCTAAGTTTTCAGCTCAGCATGCCTGTAGCCTAGTCTTTTTAAAGATATCTACCAAACCCAAACTTCACACTTTGTATCTCCATCATATCATGGTTATGACAGGATGAGGCCAAAACTAAAGTGGGATTGTTTTCCACAAATACCTTGTTTGTATTGTTTTGTGAATATATAGAAATGAGATTGAAAATCTTGTCACTATTGTAATATGGTTACTTAATACTTAACATCAGATTATTCAGATCCTAAATAGGTGCTTGCTTTACAAGTGCCAGTAGCTCCATGTATGGAATATTTGTTCTATTAAACAAATGGTTGCCAAGTTGACCCTTGCCTGCTGTGCATTAGTATTTGCCTTTCTGTCAGTGAAATTCAAGTTCTAATATAGGCTTGATCTCTCATTTGCTTAAGCTGAGTGTGAACAGTAGTGGTTTTCTCAGCTCTTACTTTATCTGCCTCACTTTTACTATGAATATGAAAATCTGTTTCTCCTTAGCATATTGTTTGGCCTGTGTGTGTGGAATATCATAGATGCTGTCTACCCATGAAATTCTTTTTCTTTTTTTAACCAATGTTATCCAAGTTTTTGGTCTGTCACAGACCTTTGTGATTGACATTGCCTATTGTCTTACAGTATGCCCGAATCATCCAGAAGCTTGGTTTCCCTGCCAAATTTAGGGTACATCTCACTTATGCTCAACATTATGTAGTCAACTGCTGTCTCAAATGGTTCACTGCACATGCATGCATAGCTTAATTTGTGTTAAATTTGACTGCAGGATTTTAAGATTCAGAATATAGTCGGCTCCTGTGATGTGAAATTTCCCATCAGACTTGAGGGTTTGGCTTATTCTCATGGTGCATTTTCAAGTGTAAGTATATATTTCTAAGTTTTTTTTGTAATTCAACTATTGCACACTGTAGTGTATCAAATTGTAGTCGATTACTGTTGTGACCTCACTTGTTTTCTATTGATTCAGTATGAACCAGAACTATTTCCAGGGTTAATATATCGTATGAAGCAGCCAAAGATTGTGCTTCTTATCTTTGTGTCTGGAAAGATAGTCCTCACAGGAGCAAAGGTGAAATATTCATTTCCTTTATACGAAGTTTATGACTAGTTCACAAGTAGTCTTAGCGTTTCTTCCTAAAATGCTCACTCTACTCCCTTTTCAGGTGCGCGAGGAGACATACACTGCTTTCGAGAATATTTACCCAGTCCTTACAGAGTTCAGGAAGAACCAGCAGTGGTATGTGCATTTTGTTTGATAGCTTCAATATCCCTCCCTGTATACCGTGTCCATAACTTATTTTGTTTTCCTACACAGATCTATTGGAACCTTCATCGCGGCGTAAAATTGAAATGGAGTTGCTTCCTCTACTGGCACGACAAAATGTGAATATCTGATAGTGTGTCATGTGCAGCTCTGCTTGTCCTTTGGCACCTTCAAATAATCTTCTAATTTGTTTATATTGGCCTTTGTCTCCTTAGTTTTAGCACCTTGAACCTCCAGTGTTGGATTGTAGCCCCCGATCCCCGAGCCTTGAACTGTAAGCAATGTATGATGATGGCTAACTGGCATACTTTGCCATTGGTTCGCCCATTGTATGACGATTCTGCATGCCTGGCTAATGCAGTCCAAAATTTTTGGTTTCTAATAATATGACAGACTTCTTCCTTTTCTTTAATGCTGAGTATTGCGTTTCCCTGAGTTTTCCATTATGATGTTCAACATCCATCCACCCTACCCAGTTTCAGCTCTTCAGAAACAATGCCATTCTAGTAGGTTATTGATTGTGCTGTTATGAAGCTAATGAAGGTTCTTAAGGTATTATTGATATGCATTAGACCATGTTTCTTGATTAGAGAACTTATATGTAAAAGTTTTTTGCCTGTATAGCAATTGCCAATTGGTGCTTAGATGCCTTGCTGTAAACTTGAAATCCTGTAATAACATATATGTAATTGATAAATATCACAGGAATTATGGACTGGTAATGTGTAATCGTCCTATATGTTGTTGTAAGTAAACCTGCTCCTCCTTTCCCCACCTAAGCTCGCATTCATGGTGCGGCCATCCCAGACCACCGTATCCATTTCCTCTGCGATTCGAACTTTCAGGCAGGGTTCGGGATGAAGGATGAACCCAAAACCGACTGTAGTGTCGGAAAACCCGACTCACTAGCGGCGGTGAGTGAGTAATCAATCTCAATTCCGGCATCCATGGCATCGCTCATTCCGATATGGTTTCACCAGAAACAATTTTTTAGATTTTTGTGGTCCCTTTTTTAAAAAAATAAATGCAATCCTACCAAAGTATAAGCTTAATCTTTAAAGGTGCGGGAAAAAGAGCAGGCTGTGGAGGAGTGTTACGCGACCACCACGGGATTTGGCTACGAAGTTTTACGTGCCACTTAGGATCATGCTCGGCGGACCAGGGGGAACGGTGGGCTCTCCTTTTAGGGTTGCGAACGGCGCCAAAATGGGGTGTGTGTAAGCTCATCATTGAGAGCGATTCTCTGGGGACTGTTCAGAGCTTTTCCACAGCAACCAGAGGGGAGGAGACGGACTGTAATATTCTCCACCTATGTGCCCGCGAATGTTTGGCCTTCCAAGACTTAGCTGTTAAACATGTGTCCCGGAATCAGAACTATGCCGCGGACCGCATGGCTGCGGTTTCGCTCTCACATGCGTTGGGGGTACAGGAACAACTGGAAGTGCCTCGTATCCTCGAGGATGTGTTTTGGGAAGATAGTGTGGGAGCAAGAAACTTCTGCACTAGACGAAACAGTAGAGCTGGCAATAATGCCGCTGGTAGATAATTTCACGGGCTCAACCCTCTCCTGTATCCAAAAAAAAAAAAAAAAACTTTAAAATCAAATCATAAAAATTCTACTAACCTACTATCTACAAAGTCCAACCAAACATAAAAATAAAATAAAATAAAAACATCTTGAAACTACCTGCTAGTAGTAAAATAAAATAAAAACATCTTGAAACTACCTGCTAGTAGCTACTTGCTGGGCTACTGCTATCATTTGGAATGCAAGTAGAGCAATCTGTTGGAATGATACATGTTTCAAGATATCTCTACAGATTGTTGGGGGATACAGAACAGTTTTGCCATGTGACATACTCAATTAATTAGTCATAATTATTATGAGAGAGAAGTGATTTTGATAAAAAAAAAATGATGATTTTCAGTATTAATTACATTTAAAAAAATAAAATAAAATTAGTAGCTAAAACTATGATTGGCAAACTTAGTCGAAAGCTAAAAAGTTATAAACTAAAAACTGAAGAGTTGTTAAGTTATAAGCTATAAGCTAAAAACTAAAGAGTTGTTAAGCTAACTGCTTATGCAATTGTTTGGTAAAATTAACATTTTGATAAGTTGATATATGTATTAAAAAAAAAAAAAACTAAAAATGATATATCTTCGTAAAATTTAAATGCTTTCAAATTTAAATAGGTTTGTTATACATTAAAATTTAACATTTTGAAATGAAGCTATTAGCATAATCACGATCTAGGATCACATAATCAAGTAGTGATATTGTTGCGAATCTCTTTCATCTCAATAGAGTTCTTACTTAAATTTTCATTGATGAAGATATTACTACTTGAATCTTGAAGTTCATCAGACGGTATGTAATTTTGATGTTGCTCAAACACATTAAATATCATGTCATATTGCGAATTCTTCCAAATATAATTATGTAGTGCAAATGTGGCCATAATAACATCAATTTGCGTATTCACATTAAACTGTGGCATATTAGCAAGTATCTTCCATATCTTCTTCGATACTCCAAACGATCTCTCAATGCAACTCAGAATAGAAGAGTGTGCACGATTGAAGCATATATATATATATATATATATATATATATATATATATATATATATATATATATATATATATATATATCTAAAAACATAATAAGTGTCAATACAAGTTATGTCATTGATTTTTGTCACTTTTTTATATGCTAATAAATATATACATTTTGCTTTAATTGTTGTACATTCATTTGCATTTGACAAAATCACCCTTACACCGTTATAACACCGTTAGTTTTTAATATATCTACCAATCTTACCATACACCTCCATCTATCATATCTTTTTCTTATTTTTAATTATCGTTTTATTAAAATTATCATATAATAATTAATTTAATTATAAATTATATTTTAATTAAATATTTATATGAATGTTAAAATTATATATGTGTATCATATATATATATATATATATATATATATATATATATATATATATATATATATATATATATATAATATGTATGTATATTATTTGTGTATACATATCAATATATCATATATGTGGGTGTTAGCTTAGTATTATTTGTAAATATTATTATCTAAAAATATAATTTTTTATTATTTTTTGTTTTGATCACTATATTATTTAAATATATATATGATAATTCAAAAGTATCATCACTTAAGAAATTGCAAAACATAATTTTAATTAATTTTTTAAATTTTGTTACTTACAAATATTTTAATATTGGGCATAAGTTTTCGCGCATCGCGCGTACAAAATGCTAGTATATATATATATATATATATATATATATATATATATATATATATATATACATACATACATACATACATACATACATACATACATACATACATACATACATACATACACACTAGTATTTTTTTATGTGCGATGCACAAAAATTAAGTGCCCAATATTAGTATTTTATATAATATTTTAAATTTATTTTAGATTTTAGATATTTAAATTATTGTAAATAATAATAATAATAATAATAATAATAATAATAATAATAATAATAATAATAATAATGCAAAACATTTTTATAAATTTGATATTTATATTTTAGGAAATAACCAACATATAACTCGAATATATAATGTGTATATATTATTATTCTTATTATTATTGAAAAAGATAAAAAAAAATATATGGTGGATGCATATGCATGATAATAATAGTGGAAAAGATAACGTAAGTTATAACGGTAGGGGTATGTTTGTCCAAAATATTGTAAAATATAATTTTTATATCATAATGTATGAAAAAACTTAACGGAAAAAAAAAAACGGACATAAATGAAGGGTATAACCTCATTCACACTTATTATGTTTTTATTTAGATTAGATTAAAAGTTTAGATATTTATAGAATTTTATAAAACATTATAGAACTCATATGACTGTATAGAATTGTATAGAAGATTTTAGAGATATAATCATAGTCATTTGATCAATTAAATATCCTCCATTCGTTAAAGAGGTAAAATAAATATAAAAAGGCTCATGGTGTTTTTATTTAGATTAGATTAGAAGTTTAGCTATTTATAGAATTTTATATAACATTATAGAACTCATATGACTGTATAGAATTGTATGGAAGATTTTAGAGATATAATCATAGTCATTTGATCAATTAAATATCCACATTCTTTGAAGAGGTAAAATAAATATAAAAAGGCTCATGGGGCTCATTTTGTAACCATTCGAATAGTCCCAGTTGTTCGAATGAATATGAATGAGGATGCTTGATGGTGAAGGAGTCGCGGAACGAAGATGAATATAAAAAATAGAAGAAGATAAAGTGTTAAAACGGTATAAACGATTTATAATATGTATAGAAATTGTATGAAAACCAATGGAGGATGAAGGATTTTTGTTTGGGAGACTTTTATTAAATATGTAGAGAGAGTTGAGATGAATCGTAAGTCCAAATAGAGTCTAGTGGAAAAAGAGATGCCCTAAAATGAAGGGCTAATGCCTTTTTATATAGGTACTTACCTATGAAATTTGACATGTTGACCTTGATCATCATGGCCGGGATCTTTCGACATCCACCCGCTACAAAATGAGAGCACAGACGTATAGAAAAGTAAAAAACGAGATATATTACCTATTAAGGTTTTAATTAAAATGAGTAAAATGATGTTATTTATTTAAAATAATAAGGATAAATATGATATATATATATATTTTTTTACAAAATGCCAAAAAACTTTATTCAGCACTATTATTATTATTATTATTATTATTATTATTATTATTATTATTTTGGTCAATTTTTGTTACAAAAAATTTATAAACTAAATGATTTTTTTAAAATAAAAACTTTATTCACCACTATTATTATTATAATGTGTAATTTGGTAAAAATAAAAAAGAAATTTATAAACTAAAGAATTATAAAAAAGGTAAAAGAACTTTATTCACCACTATTATTATTATTATAAGGGGTAATTTGGTCAAAATTTTAAAAATAAAATTTTATAAACTAAATATTTAAAAAAAAATCAAAATTTGAAAAAACTTAATTTACCACTATTATTGTTATAAGAGGTCATTTTGTCAAAATTTAAAAATAAATCTATAAACTAAAGATTTTTTTTTTTTTTAAATAAAAACTCTATTCAACATTATTATTATTATTATTATTATTATTATTATTATTATTATTATTATTATTATTATTATTATTATTATTATTATTATTATTATTATTATTATTATTATTATTATTATTATTATTATCTTATTTTTAAAACACTACCAATAGGAACATTTCAAAATAAATATTATTTTAAACTATTAGTTATTTTTTGAACATTACAAAACAAACTTTGTAGCTTATTAGTAGCTTAAAATAAGTTATAAATTCTTAATTCCTAAAGAAGATATAAAATATTAAATAAGCTCTATCGAACAAAGCAGATAAATTATGCTGTGGAACCGTATCAACCTTGCAAGGTGGACACGGTTCCAACACTGTTCATAATTATGAATATATAGTTCAAAAATTATGAACATATAGTTACATAATTATGAACATATAGTTCTATAATTATGAATATAGATATTCAATAATTGTAAATATGAAGTTCAAAAATTATGAATATATAACTTTATAATTATGAACATGTTGTTCAGTAATTATGTACACAGAATCGTGTCCACCTTGCAAGGTGGACACAGTTCCACAGCATAACGATTGAATAGAGCAGTCAAAAATAAATATTTTGTGGAAACGTGATCACCATGTGCATGATGAACACATGGGTAGATCCATATTTTTTTTATTTTTTTAAAACATAAATTCATAATTTTGTTTTTTATTTGCTGTTAACGAGATAGATCCATAATTTCTAAGCTGTAGATTCATAACATCTATACTGTAGATTCATAATTTCTATACTTTAGATTCATAATTTCTGTAATGTAGATTCATAATTTCTATAACAACAAATGAAAAACAAATTATGAATCAACGTTTTCAAAAAAAACAATAATTATGAATCTACAGTATAGAAATTATAAATCTATCAATGTGTTCACCATACACATGATGAACACGTTTCCACAGCATAATTTGCGGGGTCTGTGCTCTTGGGCATTTTGCATTCCCTAAAATTCGACCCCGATCCCGTTTGGCCCCCATTCATAATAATGGGCACGACGTCGTTTGATGAGGGAACAATGAGCTGCTATACGATGTCGTTTAAAAAATATTAAAAAGTGTCTCCCAAGTGTGGATTGCTATCCATCTATACACATATTATTACATATTGAGCCTGCAATTTCTGCAAAATTGTTAGCGAATAATCGGGAAAACAAAATCGCCATACGTATCAGAAGTCCACAATAATTTGTATAGGTCGTTCATTGTGTCTTCTTTGCAATGGGAGCCAGTCGAAAGCTTCAGGGCGAAATTGATCGAGTGTTGAAGAAGGTTCAAGAGGGCGTCGATGTATTCGACAGCATTTGGAACAAGGTCATCCTTGTTTGATTTCTTTAGAGTTTTTTGTTTTTCTATTTCTCTCAATTCCTTTCTAAACCTGATTCGTTCGTCTCCCTTTGTGTATCAAAGAGTAATGAGGATTGATTGAATTTTCTCTTCTATTCTCTTCTCTGAATTTTATTGTTTAGGTTTACGACACTGATAATGCCAATCAGAAGGAGAAGTTTGAGGCGGATTTGAAGAAGGAGATTAAGAAGCTTCAGAGGTACAGAGACCAGATTAAGACATGGATTCAGTCCAGCGAAATCAAGGATAAGAAGGTCCCTTTGTGCTGCCATTTTGCTTTTTCATTTTATAGTCATGTCCTTTTGTATTTGTTTAGTGGTTATTCATTTTGTCAAATGTTTGATACATGCCTGAGATGTGGTGCACATTTGAGGATTATTAAAATAAACTTACTTATCAATTTATGCTATATGGTTGGATGGTTGGAGAACCCATAAAAAGTGAGGACCAACTTACCAAAACATGAATACAAATGAAATCTAGAATTGTGTATAGAAACAAAGCACACTATTTCTATTATGGAAGCTGAGGCATACGAAGAATGCATTTTGGTCCTTTTGTCTGGTGGGTAGGACACCATCTTGTTCATGTTGAAGACAGGGCTTTGGTTCCAATTCGGGATAGGTACTCATTCCTGACATTAGGTTCTTTGCTCTGCTATTGCTTGAGAAGATCTCATTAAAGCATAGATTGCCTTCTGCATTCTTCACACCTTCCATGATTATGTCTGAGATTCAAAGCAGGGAGATTCTACTATAAATTTTTATTTGTTATTTTTCCTTTTTGGTTTGGTGTTGAAAGTTATAGGCCTATCAAAGGCTGCTTCTATTTTGTTTGCTTTGCTGCCCTCCCTCAGCTAACAACCAGAATGACAGTGATTTCAGTCTAAATGTAAAGGCATTTAAAATAGCTCACTAGATTGATTCCAACAAAATGTCTATAAATTATTGTAGTAAGCATTATTGCATTTTGTCAATAATGAGATGGGAAACAATCCAAACACAAACATGGACCACTGTTTTGTTAAAAAAATCTGTTAAAGTAACTTACAACTTAAATAAGCTCACAAATTGTAAGATATTGTAAAGTGCCCCAACTCATGGGTTAGTAAATACATAGTAACTTATAAGCTAATTATAAAGTTTGTAAGTCATGTAAGTTGTTTATGCTTTACATTAACAGTTATCTAAATAATCTAAGCCTAGTGCACAATTAATTTCACTATGTTGGTTCAGTTAAGAGTTTTTTTTTTTTTTTTTTTTTTTTTTTTTTTTTTTCTTTTTAAAGATTATTCTTAATATTCGGAAGGGTGCATTTGAATGTGGCTGAACGTTCCGGATTTTAAGTTATGGATTGGCCTTCTAGCTCAAGTGCACTCCTTTGCTGGTTGTGAATTGATAGATAATTGAAGATGCGATTCTAGAGTGATCACCCACTGCATTTTGTATATTGTGACCCTTTGATATTGTCTATATGCTATCATCTGTGATCTAGCTTGACCTGCATACACTTTTCTGTTTCTATTGCTTCTTTTTATCATTAGATACTTTCTTCAACATGTTTCTGCTATGTCTTTAAAATGTATAACCCAAGTGCTGATGTGAATTTTCTTTGATATTTGTTGACATAGGTTAGTGCTTCTTATGAGCAGGCACTGATGGATGCTCGTAAGCTTATTGAGCGTGAAATGGAAAGATTTAAAATATGTGAGAAAGAAACAAAGACTAAAGCATTTTCCAAAGAAGGCTTGGGTCAACAACCAAAGACGGTATGCATTGGCAAGCTTGGCATACATGATGTCATGATTGTAAAGAAGTTTTGTAATTTGAATTAATTAAAATTGATTTAATTAATATCTACATATATGTGCTTGGAGAATATTTGTATTTAAAGTTTGTTCTAGTTTTACCCTTTTTGTTTGAAATTTGGGGTTCTTGCAAGTGTTTGGTAGGGAATGAAGGGAAAATGAAGGCATATGTCTTTTTTGACATCTTTAACTCTCCCTTGTTTCCATCATAAATATGGAAAGCAGGGTTGTCAAGGCATCCGGTCAGTGGAGTCCGGACGCCTAACGAGATTGGGCCTCACCCTTCTACTGCCGAATCACCGTCACAGACTTGCAGCTGACCCAGCCTCGCCCTCCCACCGCCATCGCAGCTGACTGCGCCTTCTTTCTTCCTTCTTCCACATTATACACCATATATCTTATATATAGGGCTAAAGAAGACATTGGAAAGATGCACAATAAATACTAGACTACTCACTACTCTAGGAAAAACTACTCCTCTCCTTAAGGCAACTTAGAGTAAATAGGGCTGCCCAAGACAAGATATTTTCAATATATATATAGAGGGTTCGACTCCCATGAGAACCATGCCCCAGGTGAGAACATGTGGACAAATTCAAACCATAGATCTTGTAGATCTAACGGTTGAAAAAAAAAAGATGTGGTCGTTTTCATAAATATTACAAGGTTCATAAGTTTGTAATATTTATGAAAATGACCCTGCGTCATTTTTACTTTGATTTCCTCTCCATCATATTTTGCAGATCGATGGTTTGTATTTGTCCACAGGTTCTCATATGAACCGGATTATATATATATATATATATATATATATATATATATATATATACTCATTGCCTAGTCGACTAGGCGATCGGTGACATCTCGCCCAGAAAGTCTGCCTTGACAACAATGATGGAAAGCCTTGGGTTTAATTTGTGATTTGGATAGACATCTCAATTTTGGATATTAACCTTAAGGATCTATATAATGTAATTTGTACCGCATCAATTTTATCCTTTTGTGTTGGTTGGTTATGGTTTAATTCTTGGGAATGACACTAGATAATTTTCAGTTGGGCTGTTGAAATTTATGTTTTGCATTCTTACCTTTGGGAGTTGAGTTTTGGAAATCTCATTTGAATTAGTGCTTAAGCACTTTGGATTCTGAAAGTCCTAGTAATTGATTTTGGAAATCTGAATTTTGTTTCAGACTATGCTTATCAGAAATTTAAGTTAATATTATTGTGATTTTTCTACTTTGTCAGGACCCAAGGGAAAAGGCTAAATCGGAGACTAGGGATTGGTTGAACAATGTGGTATGGAGCTGATTGTCTGCTTCATGCTATTTATAGTGTTTTTTTTTTCTTCATTGTCTAGTTTGGGGTTATAAATATACTCTGATTCTATGTGCATTATATACCTATCTTTGATTGAACATATTTACATATTTTGTTTTTTAGTAGGTATTCTGTTGTGATATTTGTCTTCTGGTGGTCACCCATGATTTTTGAAGTTGATTTTATTGAGTAATTGATTTAAGATGCTTTCTCCTGCATAGGTTAGTGAGCTTGAAAACCAAATTGATAGCTTTGAGGCTGAACTGGAGGGACTTACTGTTAAGAAAGGGAAAGCAAAGCCACCGAGATTGGTAAAGAGAAACATCTTAACATTGAGGAGATGATGTGCTATATACATTCTCATAATTGATAAAAGATCTCTTTTACAGACGCATCTGGAGACATCAATTACTCGGCACAAAGCGCATATAATGAAGTTAGAGTTGATTTTAAGGTTACTGGATAATGATGAATTGAGTCCAGAGCAAGTCAACGATGTTAAAGATTTCCTGGATGATTATGTGGAACGCAATCAGGTTGGCTTTGCCAATCTAGATTATTGTGTTTAAAATAGTTTTCCTTTTATGCTTATAGTCACACATTATTCAACGAATACAGCTAATAATTTGAATCAGCTGTTATATGGTCTGTTTAATTAATACAGTGCACTTGACATAACTGAAAAAATCAATATAAAAGCTCTAATGAGATTTAACAAGAAAACATAATTCAGAATTTTGATTCTTATTATTATTCCCTCCAGTCCATTTACTTTATCACTTCTGCTGTATTTTGAATTTGACCAAAGTTCAACGTATGACACTGACCACTCCAATTGTCAAAAGTAAGAATGATATATTAAGAAACTACATTAAACTACTACTTAGCTTTATAATTAAAATCTCAAAATTAGTCCAAGTCAGTATTCGTTAGCCCCCATGAAATAAAATCATAGAGACACATGTGTAACCTTTCAGTTGAGGTAGGTCTTTCTGATATATGCATTATGAAATTTATTTAGTTCCTTTTTTTTTTTTTTTTTTTTGTTTCCTAATTTTAGGAGGACTTTGACGAGTTTAGTGATGTTGACGAGCTTTATAGCTCTCTACCATTAGATAAGGTGGAGGCTCTTGAAGATCTAGTCACTATTGGTGCCCCTCTTGCCAAGGTAATGTATTCCTCTTATTGTCAATGTGTGTTTTGCTAACTTCTTTGCCTGATTAGCTATTCTTATGCTTCATTAGAAAATGTATCACCCACTTCTCTTTCATGCTATTTTGCCTCCCTTATACAATGCATATTAGGTTCTCTCCCATGTTCTTTCTAGTTCCTTGAAAAAATTCAAATCATTGGAAATATGAAACAAATGCGTCAATGAAGTGCGACCTCTTGGGTTGCTGTCCAAATAAAATACTATATTTATTTTTCAAGATATTTCAAGGACCATCATGTGCTCTTCTCTCCATTAGCTATTTCTCAATATCTTCAACCACTGCCTCTGTGAATCACATACATTTACCACTTTCATGCTACCCTCTAACACCTACCACCCTCAACCTATTAAATTTCTGATCACACTGCCTCACAAGGCTGTACTCATATTTCCTCTGATGGTTTTGTACCCATGCATCATGGACCTGTGAATTTTGCATAACTCTTTTCTTCTATGCTATATGGTTTCAACTTCTTGATCTTTTGGAATGAGGCCTTACCTAGAAAGGACTATAATAAGCTGATTTGTTGCCTTGTGGGGGAGAAGGCTGCTTTTCTTTTTGCCTTAATACACCTGTAAAAGGCTTGTATGCAATTGTCTGTTATGTTTTAGTGTCTTCACTGGTGTTTCATGTGCATTATCCTGTTCCTTGTCCTAGTTATTTGATTGCAAACATATCAAGAATATCTAATGTGCACATGCACACAGTAAAATATCTTTTGCTTCAATTGTTTTCTCTTTTGTTTTGCAGGGTGTTAGTGGCGTAGTAAGCACAAAAAGTTCTATTGCCATGACACCTGCTCAGGTATCAGTATGTTTTAGCTTTCCTCATCACTGGAATGATCATTGAATGGTGTATACAAATGCATTTCCATCCAGCTTATTTTTCTTTTTCTTGGGGGTGGGGGTTGCTAAGTTGGTCTAAGTGTGATACAAACTTTTCCAATTCTAGAAAGAAAATTTTCATTCATATGGTTTACTTGATTCAAGACCTCTCTCTTTCAATTATTGGTTGTTTGTTACTTTTTTTTTTTTTTTTGAAAACAGTTGTTTGTTACTTTGTTTATACTTGATTGATTACTCTCTCCAGGTAACGGTAACATCTCCTGTACAACAAACTGGTTCTTCCCAAGAGCAAGCAGATGAAGTAGGTTCCCAAGAGAGTGCCTCTGATGCAGTTCCGAGGACCCCACCTCCTAAAAGTGGCGCAGTTGCTTCTTCTGCTCCAACAACACCTGTTGGCAGCCATGCAAGTCCTGGTACTGGTCTTCTCAAAACTTCATAACATCAACTGCTTTGGACTCTCTTTCCATTTCTTGATTCGTGTTGTGATCTGTTGGAACCTGCAGTTGCCGCAGTTACTTCATCTTCTATGAATGTGCTGAGTGCTGTAAAAGATGAGGAGATTGCAGGCTTCCCAAGCCAAAAAGCACCCCCAACGCTTACTGAAGCTGGATTAAGGGGTATCGATAGACATGGCCTCTCTAGCCAACCTGCAGCTAGTATTTCACTTGGTTCTATTAGTTCACTTTCTAACAATGGAGCTCTGGGTGCTATTCCTTCAGTTCCAGAAGTGACAAAGAGAAATGTTTTGGGATATGATGAAAGACTTGGGAGTACTGGTATGGGACAGCCACTGGTTTCCCCTCTGGCTAACAGAACTATCATGTCACAAACTGCTAAGTCTAGTGATGGAATTGGCACTAATGATAGTGGTAATGTTGGTGAGTCGAATGTTATGGTTGGTAGGGTTTTCTCTCCTTCGGTTGTGCCTGGTATGCAGTGGAGGCCTGGAAGTTCCTTTCAGAATCAGAATGAAGTGGTGTGTGGCTTTAATTTCATTTTGAGTTACATTAACTGAACTTTTTCTTATTGTCAACTTTACACTTTAGGGATATGGTCAGTAATGACTGCAAAGTGAAAATTTTGAAATGATCAATTTTTGCTCTTGAAGTATGTTATTTCTTCCCTTTCCATAGCCAATATGGCCACTGGAGGTTCTAGATATGCCCTGTTCTTTGTTATGAGTTGTGTACGAAACTCTGTCTAGGCTTGTTTAAATTGTACTAGTCTGTAGTTTTAGGTATTCATCTTACCTTGTTAATATATGGGTAGAATTATAGTGTAGCATAATTTCTGTTTCTACCTTCTCAGGGGCAGTTCCGTGGAAGAACTGAAATTGTTCCTGACCAGAGGGAGAAATATTTACAACGATTTCAGCAAGTACAACAAAACAACAAACAGTTTTCTGCACAGCATCAGAATCCACTATTGCCACAGGTATTGTTTTTAGATTTGTTGAGATATATATATATATATATATATATAGGGTCAGGTTCCTGTGAGGTCAGGTCTTCCCGTGCGGTCAGTGCGGCATACACCATTAGGTATGTATAAATGCACCACACAGTGTTCGAAAATACACCATTATGTGTGGTGTATATTTTTTTGTGTGGTGTATTTTTTGGCATTTCATTCTGGTGTATTATCGAACACTGTATGGTGCATTTATGCATACCTAATGGTGTATGTCGCACTGACCGCACGGGAAGACCTGACCTCACAGGAACCAAAATCTATATATATATATATATATATATATATATATATATATATATATATTTATATTTATATTTATTTATTTATTTTCCTCAGCATTAAAATCTATGTTTGGCATTCTCTTTTTACTCTCATTAGATTTCCTTTTATGAAGTGCAAGTTGAAATTAAAAGAAAGATATGGTCATTGTGAGCTTATATTTGTAGGACAGATACAACAACAACGTGGAAATGGGCAAGCCATCAAATGAGAATCCCATATGACCTACTGGCCTTATAATATAGCTCATTGCGACTCGTTTGGGCTATTGACTAATTGTTATCACTGTTTCTGCACATATTTTCATATTTATTATTGAAATTTTGCATCCATAAAATATTTTGGTGCTACTGCAAATCTTTTGTCTATTGTCAATGAGATGTGAATATAAAAGAAACAAGAAAGTGAAAGGGCTGAAAGTAATTCTATGTTTTAATAGTTTTAGTCAACGCATACCACATCTTCATATTTTTCATGATTTTCTCAGATGTTTGAAACAATGCTTTTCTGGGTCTTATGTAATGAATTTTTTCCTGAATGGTAATGTACACTTTCTTTTCATTATGTTTCAGTTCAATTCTCAAGGCTCCTCTGTGACACCTCAACTTGGATTGGGAGTTGGAGTCCAAGCTGCTGCCCTTAATAGTGTTTCTTCATCTTCATTGTTGCAACAACAGCCAGGTGTGTCCTACCAACCATCTAATCGGGAAACATTGATATTAACAGGATCTAGAGATCCTGATCATGTTTTGTAATATTTTTTTCTCCATGTGATTAATTTACCCTTGCAAAATCAGCAGAATAAGTTATTTTAAATTGTTGCACAAAAAAATATGGCAGTTGTGGAACATTGAATCATATAATATATAGAAAGCCTACTCCCTAATTCAACTAATATTTTTATACGGTGTTGCAGACGTGGGCCACTCAAAGGTTGAAGAGTTGCAGCAACAGGTCCTATCCGAAGATGTTTCTGCAGATTCTGCTCCAGCCCCCAGCCTTGCGAAAAACCTTATGAATGAGGATGATATGAAGGCTTATGCATTAGATGCACCTGTAAGTGAAATATGTTATATTATATCCATAATTAACAAAGAAACTGTTAGAGCTCTGATTAATTCGATCTACTTTCTGAAAAGTTTCTAATGGATGATGTGGTGATATATAGTCCCTTTTCTCCTGAATCTATTATTGCGAAAAAACACACTTTTTTATGGTTCTATTTATTTGGAGAATTTATGTCTTGAGAAGAATTTAGTAGATGATAGAAGAGAGGCAAACTCCCCTTGTTCTATTAAACTAGATGTAAAATAGTTCAAGATTCAACTTGACAATGGAGGTGTTTGGTAAATGGCTGTTAGCTGATTGAGTTAGTGGGTTTAACTAGTTGATAGCATTAGCTGATTGTAGAAAAGTGTTTGGTAAATTAGCTGTTAGCTGATTACATATAAAATGACTTTCTCAAAAAGCTGATCGAAAAAACTACTTTTATTCTTCTGTATGTCAATAGCCGAAATTGCTGATGCATATAAGTTGTGTTTTACAAGTTCACGCATTTATTGGTTTCTTGGCATATGCAACAGCAGGGTGGAGTTGGCAGCACTCTTGCAGAGCAATCCCAACTTCCACGGGATACTGATCTATCTCCAGGCCAACCATTACAATCAAATCAACTGTCAGGAAGCCTTGGAGTTATTGGTCGAAGAAGTGTAGCCGATCTTGGTGCAATTGGTGATGGGTTGAGTACACCACCTGCCAACCCTGGAGGAGTGCATGACCAGTCATACAACTTGCAAATGCTCGAGGCTGCTTTTTACAAACTTCCTCAGCCAAAAGATTCAGAGCGTGCTAAGAGCTATACACCGGTAGGCGACTTATCATCCAAACTGTTGCATTACTTGGAAAAAATTCAATTCTTGTCATATTTCATGGTGTACTTTGACAGAGACATCCTGCCGTGACCCCTCCAAGCTATCCGCAAGTACAGGCCCCTATTGTTAATAATCCTGCATTTTGGGAACGACTCGGGGCTGATAACTATGGCACCGACACCTTATTCTTTGCGTTTTACTACCAACAGGTGCTTTGGCATTTTTATGAGTCAGTTACGTTATGATGTTTAAGAATAGGGGTCAAAACTCATCATGTTCCCTCCCATATAACATTTGCAGAATACATACCAACAATTCCTGGCTGCAAAGGAGCTGAAGAAGCAATCTTGGAGATACCACAGAAAGTATAACACTTGGTTTCAGCGGCACGAGGAGCCCAAAGTTGCCACAGATGATTTCGAACAAGGGACATACGTTTATTTTGATTTCCATATAGCCAATGACGAACAACATGGCTGGTATGATCCATTATTCTTTTACCTACTTCAGTTCATGAATTCATGGCATCTATCTTATCTGTGATAGATAGATGACTAAAAATGATTTGTTTCGTTTATCCAAAAACAGGTGCCAGAGGATCAAGACGGACTTCACATTTGAGTATAATTATCTTGAAGATGATCTCATTGTTTAGAACCTTTTAACATATCTATACAATTCTTCATTAGCTTCTGCTGAATTTCTACTTTCAGATTTTCTCTAAATTAAATTAATTGTAAAACTTGAGCTTCAATACTTAGTTTAGTTAGTTATAATTAATGAAATATTAAGAATTTTACTATCACACTAAGAATAAATATTAAATATTAAATTAACCTAACCTATATTTGATGTGCAAAAAGTGAAACAAAATTTTGACCTTTTAAAATAAAATCTAAGATGTTTAAGTTTCAATTTGATTCGAAATAGTCTAATGTGGGCAAATTATACTATGGAGTGTGGATTATTAATAATGTTTAGTATATTGAATGTTCTTGTACTAAAGATTTAGTTTCGATGGTATATTTAAATAAGTATTTAGTATATGAAAAATAAACATGTATGACAATAGTCTATTGAATGTAGATCATAATTCATGGTATTTTTTTATTTTTTATTTTTTATTTTTTGAAAGGAAATTCATGGTATAATACTATAATGATTGTGGTACAAGCAACTAAGTGTAATAGTTTACTTCAATATTTGAATGTATGACATTTGTGCATTTGAGTCTAATAGTTTTAAGAGTTTTACTATATGTACTTTCAAATTTTACTCTCTTATCTTTACTCTATGATGTGAGCAATGATAAGATATCTCATCATGTGAGTTTTAAAATAAAATGTCTATATTAAAAATTTGTGAGAGAATAAAAATTGAAAGTAAAAAGTGAAAATCTATGTAGTATTTTGACTATTTTCCTTTGTTAATTAGATTCTAATATTATCTTTAGTCTAAGATGGGACAAATAACAGTCTAAATTCAGCTTGCTAACCGACCAGTCACCAGGTCGGGGCCCTCATCTCCGTCGTGTATATGAATGCCACAAAATTATGATAAAGTCTATGATTCGTTGCCATTATTGTGATGAAACACACTAATCGTCACTAGATTGAAACCCACTTTCAGTAAGTTGTCTTTTATGTATCTATATAACAGGTGAGCTAACTGAAACAAAAGACTGGTGATATTAATCATTTTAAGTTATTTATAGTTAATCGATTAAAATAAAATTTTATAGTTATCAAATCAACAATTTATCTTAATTTTTTGCTTAATTTAATAAATAGATTTTTCATTTTGAGAGATTACTCTCACACTTTATCATCAATGAGATTCAATCTTTAATATCCATCAATGAGATTCAATCTTTAATATCAAATTTTATTGTGTGACCTGTTAAGCTACCCAATCTCACATTCTTGATTAGCTGAATAGGTGTTATGTTTATCTCTGAACTCCTATGGAGATTCCAGCGACTACTATTTGTCTTTTTCCACAGGTTCTTGCAGCTCTGTTAATGTAAATAGTAGTGTAAACGCATGCAATACAAGGACGTTTTGGCTGTTACTATTCAGTGTTGAAAGGTAGATTGATTGATTGGGTGGAATTTTTAGAGCAGTGGCTGGTTCCACATCCATGTCCCTCTCACTATCGTATTCTATTCTATTCTCTCTCTCTCTATATATTTATATTTATATCCCCACACTCCAAAAAATGATTCTCTCTTTCTTCACCCTTTTTGTTCATCTTATCCAAATCCCTGGGTTTTCCCTTTTCCTATTTACTTTTCTACATATTTCTATTCCATTTTGTTTTCTCAAGAATCACTTAACAATCCCACAAAATTTTGCTAAAAAAAGATGCCACTTCCATTGCAATTTCACCTCTTCCAGTGAAAAAGATTCCATCTTTTTTACATATAAATCATCCAATCAAGATTTGTTTTTTCCCAGTTTATGGGCAAGCAAAGAATGTTTAAAATCTGGGTTTTTGTATATATACCAATATTATTGTGTACTAGTAGTATGCATGTGGTGGGGGTGGGGGTGAACTGGGGAACCATGGCAACCCACCAGCTGTCACCCAAAGTTGTGGTGCAGATGCTGAAGGATAATGGGATTCAGAAGGTGAAGCTGTTTGATGCAGATCAGTCCACCATGGGAGCTCTTGCAGGGACTAACATTGAAGTAATGGTGGCCATTCCCAATGATCAGCTGCTTGCTATGAATGACTATGGCAGAGCTAAGGATTGGGTGAAGCGCAATGTCACTCGCTATAACTTCAGAGGAGGTGTCAACATTAAGTATGCTTTTTTTATTTATTTTTTATTTATTTTTTTATTTTTAATGATGATGGTTAATTGCAGCCACTGTTTGAAGTTGTGCACGGGGTAAACCCTGTCTTGTGATACTGTTACTATTATTCATTCTTGTTTGGATATGTGGAGTTGAATTTGAGTAGGAATTTGTGCTTGGTTTAGTTGTTTTTTTCATCTTTGAGTATATCATGTTGTTTTGATGATTTAGTCTGGTTAATTGAGAGTTCAATGTCAGGTGTTTGGCTTCATTGCAAAGAAAGAAACAATTTTAGTCTATTTGCATCCTTTGACAAGATTTGTCTTAGATAGTTAGCATACACATACAACAGTCAATCTTCCGACTTTGCGGTTATGTTACCAATCTGCTTACCGATTACCCCAAGTTGTGGTGTTAGAATGTTGAGTTTTAAACACTACATAGTTTGAAGCTTCATGGACCTCTATATTCATGGTTGTGGAGTTTCATGGTACCTATGGTCAAGTTTTATACTTTTGTTTGCCTTCTTGATTTGAGTTAATCAACTATAGCAACTTACACTAGTTTAGGTCCCTTGCTGGCTAGGGTCACAAGGCAGACATCACCCAGAGTGCACATTTAGGTAGCGGCGGCAAGCTTTCCCATGTGAATCAAAGTTTTATACTTTTGTTTGCCTCCATAGTAACATAATTGCTTGAGTGAATTCAACTTGTTGGTAACTCTTTTCTCGATATGAAGTCCGAGATTAAATTGGGGTTTGGCTTTTATAGCAGTTTCGCGCCATTACAAGTTACAATGGAACAATTCTTAATGTGGATATCAATGTCTGGATCTCTGCAGGGATCATTGATTCCCAGTATTTGTGATTACTATTTCATTGTGTGTTGGATGCAAATTGCAATCCCCTAACTTCCTTTACTCTTTGATGTAAAACCATAGCTTCTTGACGAAGTACAGATAATGGCTGTGTAAATCTCTAATCTTTCTTGCATTTGCATCTTAATCTGGCCTGCAGATATGTTGCAGTTGGTAACGAGCCATTTCTTGCATCATATAACAACTCTTTTATACACACGACCTTTCCAGCGCTTCAGAACATCCAAAATGCCCTAAACGAGGCTGGACTCGGGAGCAATATAAAGGCGACTGTGCCCCTAAATGCTGATGTCTACAACTCGCCCGAGAGCAATCCGGTGCCTTCTGCTGGTAGGTTTCGGGCAGATATCAGTGAAGAAATGGTCCAGATCGTGCAGTTCCTGCACCAGAACAATGCACCTTTCACGGTAAACATATACCCCTTCTTGAGTCTCTATTTGAATGAAAACTTCCCTGTCGACTATGCCTTCTTTGATGGTACAGCCAATCCAGTAGTTGATAATGGGATCCCTTACACGAACGTGTTTGATGCCAACTTTGATACTCTGGTTTCAGCCCTAACCGCGGCTGGGTATGGTGACACCCCGGTTTTGGTTGGAGAAGTGGGATGGCCAACCGAGGGAGACAGAAACGCCAATGTGAACTTGGCCTATAGGTTCTACAGGGGACTCTTGCCAAGACTGGCAGCTAATAGAGGGACGCCCCTGAGGCCCGGGTACATCGAGGTGTACCTCTTTGGGCTTCTCGACGAGGATGCCAAGAGTATAGAACCTGGTAACTTTGAGCGCCATTGGGGGATTTTTAGGTACGATGGACAGCCAAAGTTCCCCATGGACCTCTCGGGCCAGGGACAAGACAAGTACCTCGTGGGCGCCAAAGGCGTGCAATACCTTCCGAAGAGATGGTGTATGTTGAGGCCAGACGCAAGGGATTTGAGCCGACTCGGGGATAATATAAACTTCGCTTGTTCGTTTTCAGATTGCACCGCTCTCGGGTATGGTTCTTCGTGCAATGGTTTGGACACGAATGGGAACGCGTCATATGCGTTCAAAATGTATTTTCAGGTGAAGAATCAAGAAGACTTGAGCTGTAATTTCCAGGGTCTGGCAATGGTGACTGACCAGAACTTATCTCAGGGAAACTGCAACTTCACCATTCAGATAGTGGCTTTGTCTCCCAGGTTATTGCCAGGGATTATGGCACTTTTAACAGGCTTTACATTTTTGTTATTATTATAGAAAAAAATAAATTATTTTGTGCAGAAACTTCCCATATCCCAGTAGTAATTTTGAACATTGTTTTGTGCTAGTTGTTGTAAATTTTTGCTAGTGTTACTGTATTGTGCTGTAATAAATGTTCAACCCTCTATGACATAGATAAACCTATAACCACTACTAATTATATACCATGGACCACTATCTACCTTGCATTGTAGACCCTGATCCAAAAATAACCTTCAGATTCTGTATCTATAGTTGACACATTCTGTACCTGCAGTTGATAATTTTTGTACTTATAACTATCATATTATGTGTCAACAATTATCAATTCAGATTCCGTATCTATAGTTGACACATTATGTACATGCAGTTGATAGTTTCTGTACATGTAGCTATTATATTATGTGTCAACAATTGTCAAGTTATTTGTTTATATGTACAGTTAACTGTAAGTACATAATATCTTTACTGAAGATACAAAATTTTTGTATCAAAATTTATTATGCAATATGAACCATAATCCATGGTATAACAATTGCAAGAGTGTGTACAGAATAAACTCTACTTCCGGTGCGATAAATCAAGAGAGTTATAAAAATCAAAAATCGAATCCATGACCTTTTAATATGAAAATTATGCTCCACCACTCAATCACCTCTTAGTAAAAACATCAACTTTCATGCTATGAAATTAGAACCTCAAATGAACTCTTTGGTCAAAACTTGATTTGAGTTCAGACAAATTCAAACTCTAACCTGCTTGTTGAGCACTCATGGCTCGTCGAACCACTGGCAGGGTATATATATATATATATATATATATATATATATATATAT